AGGAGGAGACGGTGCCGATGCCGGTGCCGATGCCGGTGCCGGTGCCGATGCGCCATGGGAGCATTTCGGGAGGGGCTGAGACCCAGACCCCCTCGAGCAATGAACAAAAACATGACGGAAGGTTTTTCTTAATCTTCGGCCTCTGGGGGCCCCCACCAGGCCTCGGGAACGTCGAAAAACGGCTCAGGATGCAAAGCTGGTCCTGGGGAAAACGGGTCAGGATGCAAAGCCCCTTCCCAAGCCTGCAACGCTTCGCCGTCAGAAACCAGTTGCCCCCTCCTCCTCCTCCTCCTCCTCCTCCACCTCTCCTCTTCCTCCCCTCCACCGCTCCCCTGATCCTCCTCCTCCTCCTCCTCCTCCTCCTCCTCACCTCTCCTGCCTCCACCTCCTCCTCCTCCTCCCCTTCGTCCTCCTCCTCCTCTCTCTCCTCCTCCTCCTCCTCCTCCTCCTCCTCCTCCTCCTCCTCCTCCATCCTCCTCCTCCTCCTCCTGACCCCCCCCCCAGGTGGCCCTGCCGCAGCCGCTTCCGTGCGCGGCGTGGCAGGCGCCGGGGGCGCGCCCACGGGCGCGGAGGATCCAGACACCGGGCCGTCGTCGTTGCGTCGTCGGCGCCGCCGTCGTCAGCAGCAGCAGCAGCAGCGTCGTCGTCCCCCAGACATGCTCGCGCCGTGGGAAAAAAACAAAAAACAAAAACATGCCACGGGAGGTGCCTGCTACGTTCTGCCCCGAGGGGGGCGCTCCGGCCAGGCCCCGGCACCGTCAGAGAGCGGCCCGGGGGTGGGAAAGTTGATCCCGGGGAGAAGGTCGAGGCTTCGGGGGGGCCCGTATCGAAGGAAAAACACGACGTCGGGTCTTCGGGGATCCGTCGTCGTCGTCGTCGTCGCCCTCGTCGTCCTCGTCTTCGTCGTCGTCGTCGTCGTCGTTTCCGGCGTCTCTTCTGGGTTGTTATGAGGGAGTTCACGCTTAGAAAACTTGGAAAAATTCTCCGGGGGCCGGTGGACTTCCGAGCCTTCTGAGAAGGCCTTCTCCTTCTCATTTCCCCCCCAGGCTCGCCGCCGATTTGAGCAGGTGTGTTTCTGACCAGTCGCCATGGGCGAGAAGCCTGAAATCTGGGCGTCGCGATTGTTTCGTTGCGCACTGGGCGAGTGCGCCCGGCTTCGGGGTCCCATAGGACCCTCGCGGATCGATCTGGTTCGGGAAATTGCGGCAGAGAGTTTGGGGTCGAGGGATAGGCGTGTGATTTCTCCAGGTGGTGGCAGTGCTTTCGCGACGTCGGATCCCAGGGCCTGGCAGAAAGAATGAGACGGCAGTTTGTGTGTTCACCTGGGGCCTCCAAAAGGGCCCGCTTCGGGGACCAAGCCATCAACAGAAGCAATTCAGGATGAAGAGCCAGCCCCCAGGGGGAAGGAGGCATCAACAAAAGCGATTCAGGATGAAAAGCCAGTCCCCAGGGAGAAGGAGGCATCAGCAAAAGCGAGTCAGGATGAATAAGCCAGCCCCCAGGGGGAAGGAGGCATCAACAAAAGCGAGTCAGGCTGAAAGGCCAGTCCCCAGTGGGGGAGGAGGCATCAACGGAAGCGATTCAGGATGAAAAGCCAGCCCCCAGGGGGAGGGAGGCGTCAACAGAAGCGAGTCAGGATGAAAAGCCAGCCCCCAGGGGGAGGGAGGCACCAACAGAAGCGAGTCAGGATGAAAAGCCAGCCCCCAGGGGGGGAGGGAGGTCGAGAGGTCTGGGGGCTCTCAGTGGGCACGTCAAGCGAGAGATCGGCCTTCCGGCAGGGGCCCCACGGAGACGTCTCGTCGCTCGGGGCCTCCTTGGCCGGTATTACGCCAGGGAGGCTTCGACGCACGGTGCGGCATAGGTCGGGGGCCTCATGCGAACCCTACAGTCGGGGCCCTGAAGAAGGAACCCTTTTCGTTGGGGAGGGGCTCCGTGTTCCTTAATTGTTTCGTAGCTTGCCTCAGATGTTCCTTAGGCTTTCGATACGAAATCTAAGTTTAATTTATGGGAAATAGGGGCCTCGTTCCTTATTTAGGGTTCCTTAGGTCAACGCCTCGACTGTACCCCTACCCCCCACGATTTCTGAGGGGGAGGGTGGGGTTTACTTCGTTCGGGAGCTCTCGAACGAAGTGAACCCCACCCTCCCCCTCAGAAATCGTGGGGGGCAGGGGTAGGGTTCGCATGTGGCCCCCTAACAGGGCATTGGGCACTGGGATCAAGTCGGGCCCGCCCCTCTACAGGAGGAATATTCAAAAATAGTCAAAAAAATAGTCTGGGGACTATTTTTGATTAGTTTTGACCATTTGGGAATATTTGCTGTTTTTTTATTTTTCGTCAAGAATCCCCCTGTAAGGGGGACACGCCCGACCTAACACGGGGAGCGGTCATAGGGGCACTCGGCAGCGGCTGCGGGCAGCGTGTAGTCGACGATGGCGGGTGCTGCGGGGTGCCCTGTGGCCTGCGGGCGTCGAGCCCCCGAGGGGGATACCCCGAGGAGAGTGGCGGCGCAGGCCTTCCTGCAGGCAGAGCCCCCCGTCTGCTACTCGAACGACGGGCAGGTGCTCGGAGCACGCGAATTATACACTCTGTCCGCACTTAGCTTGTCTCCATGGCTAGGATGCGCGTACGTGCGCGCCGAGGGGTGCTCAGGCGGGATGACGACGTCGGCAAAGGTTGGCTGGGCCTCTGATTCCCGACGGCCGTGTTTTCCGGACGGGTTCGAACTACCGGAACGGCCTCAGAGCGTTTCGGAACGCTCTGCAACGACCGCGGCGCCCGATACATCTTCCAAACCCGCCGATGTTCAGAGGTTCCCGATGTGTATCGGTCCGATGTTGTCTCGCTTCTCCCTTCATTCAGCCACGCGCAGCGGGGGGAGGGGGGAGAGCTGGGAGGGCTTCTTAGAAGCACCCCTGCGTCTAAGAAGGCGCGGCCCTTATCTGTAGGTGTGAGGCCAGCGCCTTCTAAGAAGCAGCCTCCTTCGAAGAAGCCCTCCCCCCTCCCTCCACCCCGTCGCGCGCGCCGCCAATTCTCAAAGGTTCCCGATTTGCAGCGGTCCGATGTCGTCTCGCTTCAGCCTTGCAGACCTGGCGTGCCACCCGCAGGCGCGCCAGTGCTGGGAGACTGGTTTCTGAATTCCAAAACTTGGTTTTTGAATCCACACGCGTTGACGAGCAGGAGCACGGCAGAGAGCCCCTGGAGGACAGGCGGAGGAGAAGCGGAGCAGAGCGGGCGGGCAGGGGAGGAGGGAGGTCGGCGTCGTTTCGCCGGCCCCTCAGCGGAGGAACGTACCCATCGGTCGTTGAAAGTGGGTGTTTCTGGATTCCCAGATTCCAATCTACGTTCAGCGCCTTCCTGCTTCAAGAGTCGAGTGGTTTTCCCTCTTCCCTCCTCTTCAGGAGGCGGGCGGAAGCCCAATCTATTCCCAACGCCTTCCTACTTCGTGTTTCTACCTACTTCTTCCGACCGATGGGTAAGACTCGAGTACGCCAGAACTCGAGTTTGCCGACGCTTCTTGACGGGCCCGTTCCAGAGTTTTTGACGGTCCAGTTTCTGCGGGGTTTTTGCAGCGGGAGCTCGCGTGAGGTGTCAGGCTGGGTCTCGTCGTTTCTTTTCGGCTCCGTCAGGTGAAGTCCGACAGACGCAGCCTGTATCCCCATCTGAGCTGCCTCGATACGCCCATGTTGAAACGCAGCACACACCGCGCTTCAAGCGGACGTGCCAATGCGTTGCATGTTGGCTCAGCGCAGCGGCCCACGTCTTGGCGAACGTGTCGCGTCAGACCTGCGCGCCCAGTCTGCGCTTAAGTCGGGCATGTCCCCCTACAGGGGGATGTTCGACGAAAAATGAAAAACACACCCAAAATAGCCAAAAAATAGTCCAAAAATAGTCTGGGTATTATGTTTTGCATATGTGTTGGCCTTCTTGGGGTATGTTTGGGGTATGTTTTAATTTGTTGTCGAGAATCCCCCTGTTGGGGGACACGCCCGACATAAGTCTACGCGTTGCGCGCCGCATCGATACCTTACGTGCTGCGTGCTGCGTATGTCGGGGCAGCGAAGATCCCCACCTATATAGGGGTCGGTTGAGCAGGCCTCGCCCGCGGGCGGCGCCCCGGGCGCGACGAGGTCGCGGGCACTGGTCACGAGCGCCTGTCAGCAAGAGGACATCCCAGACATGCTCGCGTCGCGAAAAAAGCTCAGGACGGAAGGTGTTTGGTCGTTTTCGGCCTCTGGGGGCCCTCGCTGGGCCCCAGGACCGTCACGGAACGCACAAACGGCTCGGGATGAAAAGCCGGTCATGGGAAAGAGTCGTTTTTTTCGGGGGACCGCGCGTGGAAAAAAGTCTGGCGTCGCATGTCTGGGAAGGCGCCCCTGCCGCAGGCCCTCCCTCGTGCTCGCCTCCTGGGGGGGCCTCCCGGGAGGCACCTCGTCGCCGCCGCGGAACTCGCCTGGAAATGTGGGCCAGAAAGCACCCCGGGAGAGGTCCGTGGAGTACACCTTAGGCGATGCTTAAGAAAACCTAAGTTTTCGTCCAGAGTCTCGATTGTTCTTAACTTTTCAATGTAAATCCCAAGATTTTGATAGAAGATCTGGGTTTTATTCAATTCCTGAGAGCATGAATTTCTTAACCCATGATTTCTTAAACATTTCGCAGGGTGTACGGCAGGTTCGCGTCGTGTCGACCGGCGGCGACCCCGCCAGCGGCGTTCAACGTTGAACGCCGCGGGCGGCCCAGAGTCGTTCGATGTGGAACGACTTGGACGTTTCGGAAACGCCCGATCGTTCGAGGTTGAACGATCCCCGCGGTGTCAGGAACCAAGGGTCGACACGACACGAACCTGCCGTAGCGGTGTCGGTACGATGGGGGCGTCGGTTGAGGAATTTGCCCCAGGGGGCTTCAGACCCCGGAGGATGCCTTATCCAATGAAGGCGGCGATGATATCCATAGCCTGTCCACGATTGGAGTTCCACCGGTTTCCAGACCCTGGATTCCTTCTCCAAGGGTTCCTTATCCAGTGCCCTCGCCGTAGCGGTGTCGGTAGCTCTTGGTTCCCCCAGAGAGAGCGCACTGGAAGAGAACCCCCCCGCGAGCCATGGGAAGACAGCTGCGCTTGAGTCGGGCCTGTCCCTCTCTTCAAACATGGTAAAAATATGAGTCTGGGGACGCTGTTTTGACCATGCTGGGGCATTTTGGGGGGCATGTCTGAGGTACTTGTAATTTTTCGCCCAAAATCCCCTTTGTGGGGGGGGACAGGCCCGACTTGCAGCTGCGCGCTCTTCCTGGGCCGGGCCGCTCTCCAGAGAGCCCCCCCCCCACCGGGGGCCGGCGCACGCACTCTCACAAAGGGCGCGCCCGGGACCCAGGCCCCCGTCGAGCAACGGAACAAATCGCGACGGGAGGTCCGTCCGCCCGCAATGCAGGGAAACGATTGAAAGAATCGCCCACCCCCACCCCTCCCCCCCGGACCCCCCAAAGTGATTGAGTGGGGCAGACTAATGGAATTCTTTACGCTTCGCGTATCCCCACCAGCCCATCTCACAGCAGCAACTCTCGCGAAGCATGCCGACAGTCGTGTTTTTCAGGCGTGTGTCCGCTGGGCCCCGCATATCTCCCCTGTTCCTCCTTCCTCCCGCCTCCTTGTACATCCTCCTTGTGGGGGGAGCGGGAGAAGGACGAGGCGAAGGAGGAGGGAGAGAAAGCGCTCCTCGTGGTTTGAGTCGTTTGGGGTTTCTCGTCCTGGTGTGAGTCGTTCGGGCCCTTCTTCCTGGTGTGAGTCGTTCGGGCTCTTCGTGGTGTGAGTCGTTCGGGCTCTTCGTCCTGGTGTGAGTCGTTCGGGCTTCTCGTGGTGTGAGTTGTTCGGGCCCGTCGTCCTGGTGTGAGTCGTTCGGGCCCCTCCTCCTGGTGTGACTCGTTCGGGCTCCTCGTGGTGTGAGTCGTTCGGGGCCCGCGTCGTGGTGTGAGTCCTTCGGGCTCCTCGTGGTGTGAGTCGTTCGGGCGCCTCGTCCTGGTGTGAGTCGTTCGGGCCCCTCCTTGTGGTGTGAGTCGTTCGGCCTCTTCGTGGTGTGAGTCGTTCGGGCCCCTCGTCCTGATGTGAGTCGTTCGGGCTCCTCGTGGGGCCCCTTGGGGGCCTCTTGGAGCCTCGTGTGGCCTCTTGGGGGCCTCTTGGGGGCCTCTTGGGGGCCTCTTGGGGCGTCGTGGGCCTCTTGGGGGTCTCTTGGGGGCCTCTTGGGGGCCTCTTGGGGCCTCGTGGGGCCTCTTGGGGGCCTCTTGGGGTCCTCTTGGGGGCCTCTTCGGGCCGTTTGGGGGCCTCTTGGGGGCCTCTTGGAGGCCTCTTGGGAGCCTCCTGGGGGCATCTTGGGGCCTCTTGGGGGCCTCTTGCGCCCTCCTCAGAAGCGCAAAGGAGCGCTACCCCCTGAGAAAGACAAAATGAGCCCAAAACTTTCGTAAAATCAATGATTTTGAGAACAAGGAAGAGGAGCGCTGCCCCCTGAGAAGGCCAAAATGGGGCCAAAACCGTAGTAAAATCAATGATTCTGGCTTCACAGAAGAGGAGAGGGTTTTTTCTCTATCCCCCCGTCGGGGCCAGAATCCTCGTGAGGGTCGTCGTTTTTTGGCCCTCCCAGGAGTCGAAAAAGACCCCCCTGACCACCCGCGGGGCTCCCTCTCCAGGCCCAGGGGGAGGGGGTAGGGGGAGGGGTAAACCCCTCCCCGAAGGGGAAGAAGGGGGGTTGGGGGGTTGAGAACAGAGAGAGCTCCCTAAACCACTCACGCCCAAAGGGCTGGTGGGATTCAGCCGCCGGAAACCGTTTTTCAATCGTTTCCCTTCATTAGGGGGACAGGCCCGACCTGCCCCATCCTCCTTCCGCCCCCCCCCCCTCTCCCAGATCGTGCGCTGGAGAGGAGGTGCATTGCCCGAAGCACCGCCTCGCTGCCTCAAGCAGGAGTGCTTCCACCTGCCCCCTCTCACCCCATCTCCCAGATCGTGCGCTGGAAACCCAGGCCCCCTCGAGCACTGGAGAAAATCAGGACGGCAGGTCTTTCCTCATTTTCGGCCTCCGGGGGCCCTCACCGGGCCTCGGGAGCGCCAAAAACAAGGGCGCCCTCGAGGGCGCGAAGTTATTCGCGCTTCGCGGTTCGGCTCCTCATCCTCTTCATCCTCCTCTTCTCCCCTGGGAGGCGGCGCGAGAGCACGAAGTTATTCGCACTTCGCGCTTCGCGCAGCGCGAAGCGTGAAGTTGGGAGCCCTTGAAAAAACGACTCGGGATGGAAGGCTGGTCCTGGGGAGGTCTTTCCTCATGTTCGGCCTCTGGGGGCCCTCACCGGGCCTCGGGAGCGCCAAACAATCGACTGCACGTAGGAGTGGCCCTTCCCCGGAGTGACCCTTCGTGCGGGCTCATTGGGGCCCCCCCGAGCGCAGAGCGCCCTGCGATGGTGGCTGTTTGCGCGCTCGGGTTTGGCCACCTTGCGCCCCCTTCGTCCGCGCACGAAAGGCCACTCTTGCCTAGGGTTAAGTCGGGCCTGTCCCCCTACATGGGGATTTTCGACGAAAACTAGAAAATACCAAAAAAATAATTCAAAAATGATCCAAAAATAGTATGGGGACTATTTTTTGAATTTTTGTTTAACCTTTTTGGTGTACTTTTGAGGTATTTTTGATTTTTCGTCGAAAATCCGTCTGTATGGGGGACAGGCCCGACCGAAGCCTAGGGTCACTCCTGCGCGTAGCCGACGGAAACGACTCGGGGTGCGAGGCCGGCTCCTGGGGGAAGGGGTCGGGGCCTCTGCCGGGGGCCGACGCCGCGCAGGAGTTCTGACGTCGGGGGTCTCGCGAGGCCGCACCTCCTCCTCGGCGGAGGGCGGCGGGAGCAGAGCGAGGGCGCCTCCGCCGGCGGCAGCCATGCGGGAGCCGGCGGAAGCCCACTCTGGGTGCCCCTGGGAGATTCGGCAGGACGCAGGAGCGGCCTTTCGCCAGGCTGGCCTTTGTCAGGAGGGGCAGAAACACACAGACACAATGAATCCTCGATTCCCAGGAAAATAGGGGAAAATCTGGGAATTGGGGGGGAAGACAAAAACCCAGAAAATATGAGAAAATATGGGGACTATTTTTATTTGTGTGTATTTATTTGTGTGTCCCAATTTCCCTTTACTTTGGTGCGGACCCGATGGGGCCCCCCGGTCGCCGAACGCGCTGCGGTAGGCGGCGTTTGGCGCGCTCGTGTTGGGTGCCCCCGCGGCCCCCAGAGAGCCGCGCACCAGAGGTCGCTCCGATCCAGGGTCAGTCTTGCGTGATCAGTGGGGGCCTGTGCCAAGAAACACCCTGCTTGCCTCCAGGGTGCCATGGGCTTCTTGGGTGTCGATGGTTTTGCTATGGAAAGCGTGACGTCCCCCCCCCCAAAAGAATCAATGGACGTCCTGGGGTCTCAGGGTTGGGTTTCTTGTGAAAGGTTTCTTGTGGTCGGGCTTCCAGTGTAGTCGAGAGATCTTAGCATGTTTGGACCCAGGGGCTCCTGAAAGATCCACATGCCTTCCTGGCCAAGGCAGAAGGCGCACACACTATTCCTGGGCCAAGGACAGGCCTTGTCAGGATCGATGCAGGTGCACTGAACCCTAGACTTAAGTCGGGCCTGCCCCTGTCCCTCTACAGGAGGAATCATCAAAAAAAACAGCCAAACAGTAGGCTGGGGACGAATTTGGGGGTATGTTTGAGTATTTGTTGAACAGTCTTTGACTATTTTTCAATGTTTGTCCAAACTCCGCCTGTATCCTCTGACAGGATCTGTCAAATCTGCTGCGCACCAGAGGTCGAACCACTCCCTGGAGGGAAGATGTGCGCCCTGGATCCATGTCTGGTTGCCCCCGGAAGCCGAAATCAAGGCAAACGCCCAGATTGAGAGGAAGAAAAAGTGTTCTCCATGATCTGGTTTGGTTGACGTCCCCCATGGGGACCTCTTTCCCTGGGGCCGGCTTCTCATCCCCAGCCGTTTTTTGATAGCCCTGGGGCCCGGCGAGGACCCACGGATGCCGAACAGATCCAAAAGTTGTCCGCCGTTTTCTTTGCTCACGACGTGAGGAGGTCGGAGATGGCTGACGCCCGATGGAGGGCCCAATAGGCCGAAATCTAAGGGAATGCTTCGATTGAACACACCATATTCTCGGAGATCTGGGGTGAGGAGGGAGAGAAGGAGGAAGAAGAGGAGGAGGAGAAGGAGGAGAAGCAGCAGGAAGACGAGGAGGACCCTCTCTCCTCCTCCTCCTCCTCCTCCTCCTCCTCCTCCTCCTCCTCCTCCTCCTCCTCCTCCTCCTCCTCCTCGTCCTCCTCCTCCTCCTCCCTCCTCCTCCTCCCTCCTCCTCCTCCTCGTCTTCCTCCCCCTCCTCCTCCTCCTCCTCCTCCTCCTCATCCTCCTCCCCCTCCTGGGACGACGAGTGGAAAACGAGGGTCCCAAAGAGACCACTAGAGAGCCTCTCACACGCCGTGGCATTAATGGTATTGATCGCCCCTACAGACATGCCGACTGGAGGGGATATTTCAGAGGTGCATTTTGATTACTACAGAGAATTTGGATGCAGCGTCTTGCAGCACAGGACTTGTGCCGGACACTGCATTGCATGCTTCGGCCATCGACCAGCACGTCCAGGAAGCGAAGTGAGCCTAGGGAGGAAGGGATTATGTTAGTAGAGTGGGCCCAGCAGGACTTTGGTGGAATATTAAGTAGGCCCCCTGCATAAGTGTGGCACGAAGGGGCCTCCAGTATGCCCTCCCTCCTCCCTCCCCTGTGTCGAGGATTGGTCGTGTCGTCTTTCTCTCCCTGCTTGGGAGCCCTGCTCGCCCAGCGCGTCTCCATTGGAATGGGCACGCGAGAGGGCCAACAGCCGCTCCCCCCGCACTGTCCCGTAGGGACTCGCACTCTCACAAGGTAACGAGCCTCTCTTACGGGGCCACCCCGGAGCTCGCCCCTTAGAGCTTTGGGGTACGCCCCCTGCCAGTCAAATGAGAATATTGGTTTTGCAGCAAACTTCATTCGCGGGGGATCTTGCAAGTCGTACTCCCGCAGCTCCTTTGCGGGCGTTGCGACATTGACCCTCTCATGCGGATGTCCTGTCCTGTCCTGTCCTGTCCTCCTCCTTTTCCTCCTCCTCCTCCTCCTCCTCTTCCTCCTCCTCCTCCTCCTCCTCCTCCTCCTCCTCCTCCTCCTCCTCCTCCTCCTCCTCTTCATCCTCATCCTCATCCTCCTCCTCCCCCTCCCCCCCCCTCCTCCTCCTCCTCCTCCTCCTCTTCCTCCTCCTCCCCCTTATCCTTCACCCCCCCGCTGACGCTCCCCGCCAGGTGTGCAACCGCGAGGCCCTAGGCGAGACGCCCGCGGAAACGGAGCGGCTGGACAGGGAGATGCGGCGCCTCCGGCACGAGGCCGGCGGGGCACGCACCGAGAAAGGGGCGTCGTGGGCCCCGCGCCGCCGCGGCGCCATCACGAGGGTGGAGGGATCGAGGATCGCGGAGGCCCAGACATTCGGCGGTGAGCCCGGGCGGGAAGGGGAGAAGGGGCTGGAGATTCAAGGTTCGAGGTTTCATGACATTGTGTTTGGTTCTCGGCGGCGTTCCAGCCTCGGGAGACTCTCCAGCAGCTGCGCCTCGCCGAAAGCTCTCCGCGGAGGCCCGGGTCGTGCCGGACGGCCGCCGGAGAGCCGAGCTGTGACCAGAAAACCAGCAGGCGTCCGAGAAGGGGCGGGCCTTCTCAGAAGGCTCGGAGGTCGCCGAGCCTCATGAGAAGTTCTCGGAGCCTTCCCCCAGGGCACAAAGCTTCTCAGAAGGCGAGGGGGGGCCTCCGAGAAGGCCTCCTCATCGCCCCCCCTCGCTCGCCGCCGAATCACGAGGATGGAGGGATCGAGGCTCGAGGAGGCCCAGACATGCAGCGTCCTGACAAAAATCAGGACGGAGGTTTTTGGCCGCCTTGGGGCCTCTGGGTGCCTTTATACTGGGGGCCCGGGCCGTCAAAGTTTTGCTGGAGATGAAAAACGGGTCGCAGGGAAAGGGTAGGGCCTTCTGGAGACCCCGAGTTGAAAAAAACACAACATCGCAGGTCTCGAGGAGAAGGTCGACGAGGAGAAGGAGGAGGAAGATAAGGAGGGATCATCGAGGATCGAGTGTCGACGAGGAGTAGGAGAAGGACCAGTGCAAACCCAAGACTCATCAACGATGTTGGGATAAACCCTCCCTTCAAGCTCCCTCTTCATAGGCTCCACTGTGGGAACTGCTTCGTTGGGAGACAACCGTTTGAAGACCGTGAAGCGTTCCAAAACACCATTATCGGGACTCCATTTCCACAGATTAACCTGACTGTTGCGTCCGACGATCCTGAATCGTGCCAGAACACCATCCCTTGGACTCAACACCGCGAACCAATTTAAACGTTGCACCCTCGCATTCCTGAGTCCTTCCAAAATACCGTTTCTGGCACGTTCGTCGACCATGGGAATCCGTGAAACGCCTGCAAATGTTTAAAACGAATGCGCGCGGCGCTGAGGCAGGAACCACATTTTGAAAATCAACCGCCCTCAATACGTGAAGCTCTTGCAATTGTGTGACACGAATGTTGCGCGGCGCTATGGCGAGAGGCACATGTTGAAAACAGCCCGCCCTCAATCTGTTAAACTGTTGCGCTTTTCAGAGCGAATGCGCGGCGCTCCGGCGAGAGCCACATGTTGAAAACGGCCCGCCCTCGGTCCACGAATATGTGCGCGCCGCTGAGGCGAGAGCCACATGCTGAAGACCACCTGCCCTCAGTCCGTGAAGCTCTTGCAGCATTTCAAACGCGAATGTGCGCGGCGCTACAGTCGGGGCCCTGAAGAAGGAACCCTTTTCGTTGGGGAGGGGCTCCGCGTTCCTTAAGTGTTTCGCAGCTTGCCTCAGGTTTTCCTTATGTTTTCGATCGGAAATCGAAGTTTAACTCATGGAAAAAAGGGGACTTCGTTCCTTATTTTGGGTTCCTTAGGTGAAGCCCCCGACTGTAGTGCGAGAGCCATTGGAAGCGGCCCACCCTTCATCTGCGAAACGGTTGCCAACTGTTCAGCTTCCGGGTCACAAGCAGTGAGGAGATCTCCGGCGAAACGCCCCGCCCGCCCTTTCGACCAGCCTCGGGGTGCGACAGGGAGTGGTTATTGATAAGGAAAAGGAATGGAGGAGGAGGAGGAGGAGGAGGAGGAGGAAGATCAGGTGGGAGTAATCGAGGATCGAGGGTCGACGAGGAGGAGGAAAAAGAGGAGGAAGATCAGGAGGGATCATCGAGGGCCGGCGAGGAGAAGGAGGAGGAGGAGGACGAGGAGGAGATGGAGGAAGATCACATCGCGGATCGGGGGTCGAGGAGGAGAAGGAGAACCAACGGGACACCAACGCGACACCACAGGACACCACGGCGAGACACCCCGGGCCACCGCGCGCCCACCGGGGGCGGAGGTACGGTCCCTTGCATCCGAATCGGCCTGGCGACGGCGGGGTCATGCCTCTCGCGCGCCCACGCACTGCACGCACGACACGAAACCGAAACCGATGTCTCGGTGGGGTGCTCTCAGCTCCACTGCAGTCTCACCCCCCAACCTCCGACTATTCCGATGCCACGCTGCCGCACGCTATGCCTGAGGCGACGGCCCGGCCCTTGAGCGACGGAAGGAAACCGGGTCGGCTGCGCCGACACTCGTGCGCAAGCTACCCGCGCAAGGCCGCGCGTGAGCGCCCTCTTCTCCGCGCGGGGTGCCACGCTGGCGGCCCGTGCAAGCCACGACTTTAAGGTCGTTGTGGCATCGTGCGTAAGAGGAGGATGAGGAGGAGGAGGAGGAGGAGGAGGAGGAGGAACTGAAGGAGGAGGAGGAGGAGGAGGAGGAGGAACAGGAGGAGGAGGAGGAGGAAAGGGAGGAGGAGGAGGAGGAGGAAGAAAAAGAAGAAGACGAGGAGGAGAAGGAGAAACCGTGTATGGGGAAAGCTTTTAGGCGGCTATGTTCGTCGCCCAGGTGCTCCCGAGCAGGGGCCGGAGGCTTTTGAGAAAGGCTTCCCAGATGGCGGGTCGGTTTTGAATGAGCCTTCCCGCCTTCTGACAGTGCCCGCCCCACCCCCGACGAACCTCTGCTCGCATTAACCGTCTGGACCCCGTCCTGGGGTCCGTCAGGGGCTGGTGCTCGAGCTGCGTCCAGCCGTGGCCACGAAGGCCCCCCAGGAGGTCCCAAGAACAGCGCAGAGCCTCCTGATGGTGCAGCACCCTTGTGAAAAGAGCCCTTCCCTGCCACCCCCCCCCAATCCGGTGCGCCGCCAACGCTCGGCACCACCCGAGCACACACTGCTGTGCTGTGCGCGCCGACCCCGCGGAGGCGACGCGAACGACGCTCTACGAGCTGCGTGGCGGGCCCTTGCTGGCAGCACGGCCCCGGAGGAACGGCACAGAGTCTGAGGGTTGCGCACACGCCTCCAACATCAGCACATGCAGTGGGGGGGCCCATGCCAAGAAACACCCTGCTTGCCTCCAGGGTGCCCTGGGCTTCTTCGGGGCTTCGGCGGTTCTGCTGTGGAGAGCGCGGCGTTCCCACACCAGAAGAATCCATGGACGTCCTGGGGCCCCAGGGTTGGGTTTCTTGTGGACGGTTTCTTGTGGTCGGGCCCCTACGGTACCGCCCAGGACACAAAACAGAATCTGAGAGTTGCGCACACGCCTCCAGCACCAGCACATCTTGCTGGTACGCCCTTCTGCGCCCCAAGCGAGGAGCAGGGTGGCACCCTCGTCGCGCGCGTGAGGGCGGCCAACGCCGCCGCCGCCGCGGAGGCGGCCAACGTGCAGCGCGAGGCCAAGGCCTACGCCCAGGCCCGCGCGGACTTCGAGCGCGCCTTCAAGGCCTACAGCGACGAGGCGCAGGGCTGGCGCAACGCGGTGCTCGAAGACGGGAAAGCGGCATGAGCATATAACCGTCGGAGCTCCGGGCGGATTTCTTGGATCTGAGCTGGAACGCCCTGGCGGCGCCTCCGGCGCCACCGCGCGCCAGGGAGGGGTTCAGCGCAGATCCAAGACATCCGCGCGGACCTCCGAGGGTTTCAGTTTATGCCGCTTTGTCTCCCTCCAGGTGCGTGGTCTCGAGGACGACTACGCCATGCACTGCCGCCCCTTCCACGACGTGACCATGAAGTGCGAGAAGGATTTCTGCGACCACTCGCGACCCCTGCCCCTGCGACTCCGATCGGAACCAGGGTGCACGGCAGTTCCTGCAGGGCCCAGTCGGCTGCAGACGCCCCAAAAAATGTGACCCCCTTTTCCCGGCGTTTCGGAAGCCTGGCTTGCAGGGGTAGGGTTCACGCGTGGTTGCTCAGGATTCGGGGTTCGTAGAGGGAGGGCTATCCCAAAGTAGGATCAGAGAACATACCCAACTGGATACTCGTATGTCCTTCTTGCCCAGTCCGTTTGGAGCGATGCTCCTCTACCCCCGCCTCTGCCCCTACCGCGCATGTCTTGGCATCGCTCGGACGTGTGCATCTTTCCTCTGCGAGGGCCATTGATGCGAATGTGAGGCCATCTCTCGCGGAGCAACACGCACGCGCATGGAACACCGAAAAGCGCACGGGGGAGGAAAGCCCGAGCGATGGCGACGCTACCCCCCCCGAAGGATTGGCGCACCGCGCTCGAGTGGTGGAGCGAACAAGTGTGATAAGACACAAGTGTGATAAGAAAACAAGTGTGATAAAAAAACAAGTGTACTTTAAAAACAAGTGTGGTAAAAGAACAAGTGCGGTGAACAAAAATAAGAGTGATAAAAAACAAGTGCGAACAAAAAGCAAGTGTGATAACAAAAAACCAGCGGGTTAAAAAACCTACACACATGTTCGGAACACCTGTTTCTCCCCCCCCCCCCCCCCCCCGAAGGATTGGCGCACCGCGCTCAAGTGGTGGAGCGCGAGGGAGCCCATGCCGGAGTGCCCGGTCGGCGTGGTGACGCCCTTTCGGCGGGCCCCGGCGGCGCAGAGCGGCGTCCTCCATTGGCTCGGCCTGAGCTGAGGGGGGCGCGGCCGCCCCCGGGGGCCAGCGACCCGACGCCCCGCCTCGCCACGTGTCCTCCCTCCCTCTCGCTGCCCCCCCGCGTCGAGGAGCAAAAATTGGCATAGCATTCGCCGAGCGCGTTCCACTGCTCGCAAAGTGCCGACTCGCAAGCGTCCGAAAAATGCAGGTCTTCCTCTATGAAACAGATATAGACAGACATATATATATATATATATACATTTCTCTCTCTCTATATATATATAATGTATGTATCTTTACATATATATATATAGATCGTAAACCCCCACGGCGGATCCAGGCAGTTTGCGAGTAGTTGATTTGCGAGTAGGGGAACGCGCCTGTCCAATCATGCATGGTCCTCCTCATTTTCAGTTCCCATGTCTGAACAATCAACGTCTACAGGTGTCTGTGCCGATCTGTCCCGCCCGATCACCGCGGTCACGGCGCCGAGGCCGCTGGGGTCGCCGTCGCCCTGCTTCCAGCACTCCCGCGCGAGCACCTGGAGGAGCAAACCAGCGTCATAGACATAGAGTGGGGACGCGCATCAAGAAGCTAACCTCCGCCCGCTGCGCAGTGGCTTCCCGTGGCCGTTGAAGGGGCTTCTGCGCTCGGGGTGCTCGGGGCTCCCCCAACTCGCATCTCGCGCCTGCGGGTTTCAGGGCTGGGTTTCTTGCGAGGGTTTCTTGCGGCCGCGCCCGCACTGTAGATCGGCGGAGGTCCGCGCGGATTTCTTGGATCCGCGCTGGAGCCCCCTGCCCGCGCATCTGGCGCCGCCCCTGGCGCGCTCCGCGCGCCACGGAGGGGGGTCCAGCGCGGATCCAAGAAATCCGCGAGGGCCGTCGAAAGTTTATGTTTGTGCCGTTGTTCGTTCTTTCTCTACTGCTACTTCGTCATGACCACCGTCGTCGTCATCATGGTCGTCATCGGCAGCCGTCATCGTCATCGTCGCGCCACTTACCTCGTCAGCCATAATCATCTTCGTCGGCATGTGCATCGGCATCGCCACTCTCACCATAAGCATTGCCGTCATCATCAGCGGCACTGTCATAGCCGTCATCGTCACCGTCGACGCCCTCATCATAGCAATCAATAGTGTAGCTTTCGCTGCCATCGCCATCATCGCCATCATCATCAGCACCGTCACCATCACTAGCACCATCGCCATCATCCGCATCATCACCAATATCGTCATCATCATCAGCATCATTACCACCATCACCATCAGCCATCAGCCATCAGCAGAATCATAAACACCATCAACATCATCATCATTAGCAGCAGCATCATCATCACCTCCACCACCATCATCAGGCGAGGCAGCAGCAGCAGGAGCAAGGGCCCCCGTCACCAGCAGGACTGCTGGACCGCGTCACCCCGCGAGAGCCTGGAGCAGCGCTACAGGACTGCCCCCCCCTCTCCCGCACCCCTCCTCCCACATCCCTCCTCCCTCCTTCCTCCCTCATCCCTCCTCACTCCTCCCTCTCCTCCTCCTCCGCCGCCTCCTCCTCCTCCTCCTCCTCCTCCTCCTCCTCCTCCTTCGGGCTTCGTGCCCTCCTCCTCCTCCTCCTCCTCCTCCGCCTCCTCCTCCTCCTCTTCCTCCTCATCCTCATTCTCATCCTCATCATCATCATCATCATCATCCTATTCCCTCCTCCCTCCTCCCTCCTCCTTCTTCCCTCCCTCCCCCTCCCTACCTCCCTCCCTCCAGTCGGGCCGCTGAAGAAGAAACCCTTGTCGTTGGGGAGGACTCAGTCGTGCTTAATAAGTGTACAGCTTGTCTTAGGTTGTCCTTGGGTTTTCTATGCGAGATCGAAGCTTAACTTCTGGAACAAAATCCTTATGTAGGGTTCCTTCTGACAGCGTTTCGACTGTGCCTCTCCTCCTTCTCCTCCTCCTCTTCATCGTCCTTCGCCTGCTGCCGAGGAGACCCCTCCAAAGCCAGGTGCGTGGACCTAGGTGGGTAGGTTCAGACAGCGCCCAGAATGTCCCTGGGGGTTCCGCTGCAAGGATATGTCCCCGCCCAGAAGGTGCGCCCGATATCTCACAGCCCAGCCGCAATATTTGCGTGAGCTGGGCCATCGCTGTGTGTTTTTTGATTGCAGCGACGGTCGATCCGTTCGTGCATCAGATGCCAAAGTACCAGGGGCCCAGGCCATGGGCCAGGACGCCCTCCCGGATCCCCCCCCCCATTTTAAGAGGAGGACCCCACCTCCGCGGCCCCCCAGGCCCCCCTTCAGCCGCACAGACTAGCACTGGAGGGCGCAAACAGGCGACAGGAGCGGCGCAATAGGGCCCAAGACACCCTAAGGTGGCCTCAAGACGGCCGAGGAGCTTCCGAAAGGCCCCCAAGACACCCCAAGAAGGCTCCAGTATGCTCCCCAATAATGCCCTGGAAAGCAAACATTGCGTTTGACCCGTTTGGTAAGCGTATGGTTTCTGCACGCACCCACACACACATTGATATCTATAGTTGTGTGTATACACACACATGCATGCATGCATACATACATGCATGCATGCATGCATACATATTCGCACATGCATGCATACATGCATGCGCATGTGCATACATACATTCATGCATACATACATACATACATGCATACATGCATGCATACATACATATAAACATACATGCGTAGATACGTACATGCACCCGTACATGCAGTAATGTCTATATGCATGCATACATGCATGTATGCATGTATGCATATATGCATGTTTGCATGTATGCATGCACACGTACAAATATGCATACACACACATATATACACGCATGTGTGCATCCATGCATGCATGCATTCACAAATGCATGCATACATACATGCATGCATGCATACATTCACGCATACATATAGACATGCCCACATACAGTTGCATATACAAACCTGCATATACACATACCTACATGATTATACCTACATACATGAATGTACATGCTCACATGCATATGTACATACATACGTGCATACATGCATACGTGCATACATGCATACATGCATACACACATATATACAAACATACATACATACCTACCTACCTACCTACATACATACATACCTACATACACACATACATACACCATACATACACACACATACATACATACATACATACATACATACATACATACATACATACATACCTATATACATACGTGCATGCATGCATATATACATACATACATACATACATACATACATGCATGCATGCATACATACATGCATACGAACATCCATACATACATACATACATACATACATACATACATACATACATACATACATATATACATACATACATGCATATATGCATGCATGCATGCATGCATGTATACATACATACATACATGCATACATACAGACAGACAGGCAGACAGACAGACAGACAGACGTACACATCGGAGTAGGCCAGGGGGGGAGGCCGCTGCCTGTTACCCCCATGGGTGCCCGCCGGGGGTTGTGGGGGGGGTCCTGAGCTCCCGAGGCGGCCTGGGCCCGCCCAGGAAACAGGCCACGACAGGCTCAAGGGGCCCGAGAGGGCCCAAGCCGCTCCCAAGAGGCCCCGAAGACGCCCAAGCTGCCCTCAAGACGGCCGACGAGGACTCCAACACGCTCCAGGACGGACTCAAGAGGCTCCCCAAGAGGGCCCTGGGAGTCTGAATGTATTAATTGTCCGCTTCCCAGCGCTCCCTCACGGCCTCGGAGGCCCTTCAGATCGCTCCAAGACGGCCCACGAGGCCCCGAAGAGGGCCCCAAGACGGCCCAGGAGGCTCCCCAGGCAACCCAAGTGTGCCCCAAGAGCTCCCCAAGGGGGGCCCAGAGGGGAACCGCCAACCGATATTTCGAGGTCTCTGGCCCTAGAGGCCCCCAGTAGGCCCCTGGAGGCCACCAAGAGGCTCCCACGAAGCCCCGTGAGGCGCCGAAGAGGCCCCCAGGAAGCCCCAAGAGACCCCCAAGGGGCTTCCAGGGAACGCCCAAGAGGCCCCCCAACACACCCCAAGAAATCAGGTCCCCAGAAAGCCTTCCGGGGACTTGGTTCATCATGGGCCTGAGAGTTCCCAGAGGCCCCCAAGGGGCCCCCAGGGAACGCCCAAGAGGCCCCCCAACACAACCCAACAAATCATGTCCCCAGAAAGCTTTCCGGGGACATGGTTCATCATGGGTCCGAGACTATCTGGAGGCTCCGAAGTACCATCACGCTACTGGAGAGCTGTCTGGGCAGTTGGCTGTGAACATGACTGATCGCCTTCTCGCGGCCCCACGCTGATCGGTTCGCATACAGGTGCCCCAAGTGCCCTCTTGAACCATCGACGACGACGACGACTACGAAGACGACGAAACGACGAAACGACGAAAACGAGGACGACGACGACGGCGCGCCCCAAGAGGCGACGACGACATTACGACGACGACGACGACGACGACGACGACGACGACGACGACGACGGCGACGACGGCACGCCCCAACAGGCTCCCAAAGACGCCCCCCAAACCCATGATGTTCCCGGAAGGCCTTCTGGGAACCCGATTCATCCAGCCTCCGCCCCCCTACGCAACCATCTTCCCCGAAAGCCTTCCGGAATGCGGGTTGACAGGCGTGGACTGTGGTCCACTACTTCAGTGCAACAGTGAACTCGTCAAGCCTTGGGGCCTGCTAGAACCTGAGCGCGCGCGAAGCGCGCGATGGTCCTAGTGTTGTTTATACATGTTTGTGTATACATGTACGTGTCATATATATATGTGTATATATATATATGTCGACACACCTATACATATGTATATAAATATATATACATATACAAAATGTTCACACATCTCGACGGGCAGTTTCGAGAAGAGCTCTCCTTCGGTCCCTCCCCCTCGCTGGCAGCCCCCCGCTGGTCGAGGCGGTCCGTTTGCCAGTTCGTCTCCCCGCCGGAGGGAGGCAGCGCACCCTCCTCGGCCCCGAGGCCCCCCACGACGGCGTATGTCGAGGCGCGGGGGGCGGGGGCGGGGACGAGCAGGCAGCAGGACCCGCCGCCCCCGGCTGCGCTCCGGCCCCTCGCCGGCAGCCCCCAGGTCGCCCTACCCCCTCTCGGAGCTGCAGCCGCTGCTCGGCTGGGGCGCGCCGGCCGCGGCCGCGCTGCCCGGGCAGCCGCTGCACGCCGCGGGGCCCCGAGGCTCGCCGCTCTCCGCCTGCCGCCGCGGCCGCCGCCGCTGGCGACGTCGTCGTCGTCGTCGTCGACGAGGCTGCTGTCGGCGACGCCTTCCTCGCGTCAACGTCGTCCGCGGCAACAGCGTCGCCGCCGCCGACGTCGTCTCCGTCGTCGTCGACGGCGTCGGCCTCTCCGCGGCCGCTGCTTGGGCGTCGCCATCGGCGCTGGCAGTCGTGCTCGTCGTTGCCCGCGTCGTCGTCGTCGACGATACCTCGAGCTTGGCGGCGTCGGCGGCGGCTTCGTCTTGGGTCGCGGCCACATAGCGCTAGGGCCTACCTCTAGGCCTACCCTAGGCCCCGGAGGATAGGCCTACACCTAGGCCTATTCCAGGCTACCCCTAGGGCCTACCTACCCCAAGGCCGACCCCAGGCCCAGCCCTAGGCCCTACCCCTAGGCCATACCCGTAGGCCTACCCCTAGGCCATGCCCGTAGGCCTGCCCTAGGCTTACCCCAAAGGCAACCCCCCAGAGCTTCCCCTTCGGGCCCGCCCCCAGGCCTTCTCCCAGGACCGAGCCCCAGGCCCATTCTTGGCTCATCCCTGGGGCCTACCCAATGGCTTTCCCAAGAAGCACTCGTGGGGCCCCACCCCACAGGCCGTCGTAGGATTGCGTCGGGGGTCCCATAGACTGTTGGGAGGTCCGCCTGGACCGCGCTGGGGCCTTCGTCGTCGCACTCGTCGCCGTACTCGTCGCCCTCCCTGTCGCACTCGTTACACTGGGCGCCGTTTCGTGTTGCCATCGGTTCCCCGACGACACATTCCGACACCAGCGTTTCGACGGGTCTTAACTCCGCCGGTCCGAATTCAAAACGATGTCGGTGCTTGCCGAATCGAACCAACTCGATGCGAAGAGAGCGACTCGCGACTCCTCCGTTGCCGCCGTCGTCGCCGCCGTCGTCGTCCGTCGTCGTCGTCGTCGTCGTCGTCGTCGTCGTCGTCGTCGTCGTCGTCGTCGTCGTCGTCGGTTGTCGTCGTCGTCGTCGTCGTCGTCGTCGGCGTCGTCGTCGGCGTCGTCGTGGTCGGGGTCGTCATCCTCGTCGTCGCCCTCCAGTTCGGCCTTGCGCGCGTCCCGGCACGAAGATGCATACGCTTTAGCGTCCCGCCCGCCCGACCCGACCCTCACCCTCTGCGCGAGTGCCGGCACGGATGCGCATCATACGGAGGTGCTCCGCCCACGCGACACGACCCTCCCGCGCTGCGTGCGTGCCAACGGGAGCACGCATCATGCTTCAGTGGCGCCGCCCGCCCGACCCGGCAGAACCTGGAGGGTAGACCTCCTCCAGGCCTACCCCTACCCTCGGCCTACGTGCAGGCCCTGCCCTAGGGGCTACCCCTAGGGCCGACCCCTAGGCCTACCCGAGGCCCACCTCTACCCGGAGCCTGCCCCCAGGGCTTACTCTTAGGCCTACCTTTGGGGCCTACCCCTAGGCCTATCCTTAGGTCTATCTCTAGGGCCTACCCCTAGGCCTACCCTACGGCTTACCCCTAGGCCTACCCTAGGCCTACCCCCAGGGCACTAGGGTGGGGCTTCCTGTGGCTACCTTAGGCTACCCTACAGGTCCTACGGTAGGGCCTAGGTAGGGCCGAGGGTAGCTTTTCCCCTCCGGGGTCTACACCGCGGCCAGCGGCGGCAGCGACGACGACGAGCGACGACGACGAGCTGGCGCCGCCGTTGGCCGTCGAGCTCGGCGGCGACGTTGCCGCCGCCTGCGTCCGCGTCCGCTTCGTCGGCGTTGTCGTGCCTGGACGCGGTCCCGCCAGGGAGGTGGTAGAAAAGAGCAGGGATGCTGTGAAGGAAAGGGAATGCGTCGGCTACGCGCAAGAGTGACCCTTCGCAGGAGGGACCTTTGGTGCAGGCCCACTGGGGCCCCTCGATCCCTGAATGCGCTGCGAAAGCAGCGGCTTGCGTGCCTGGATTAAACCCACCGCGCCCTTTCCCTGAAGCCGCGCACCAAGGATCAATCCTGCCTGGGGTCACTCTGGCGTGTACCCGGATCATGGGGAGGGAGAGGGTGCAGGAGGGACGACGCGGAGGAGCGACAGGGAGGAAGAGGGAGGCGGAGGGCGAGGGAGGAGGAGGAGGAGGAGGAGGAGGAAAAGGGAATTGGAAGTGGGGGGAGGACGACGCCGCCCCCTTCGCTTGGCGACGAAATCGCCTCCGCCGCCGCCGTCGCCCCGGGCGGCGACGGCGCTCACGACGACGCCGATGTGCGCAGCGGCGGGATCCGCGGCGGCGGCGACGACGGCGGCGCTCGCGACGGCGGCGTCGTCGGCGACGTCGACGTGACCGCGCCGCAGGGGCCCCCGCTGCGGCACGGCTTTCGTTGCCGCGCGGCCCCGACCCCGAGGCCCCGCCCGCTTCGCCGGTCGTCTGTCGCCACCGCTGCCGCCGCCGAGGAGGGCCCAGACATCCAACGTTTTTTTGTTCCCCCGTGTTTTCCCCAATTAGGCTTGCCGCCTAAGGGGTGCTTACTTGGTGAAAGGTTGGTGCCTCCTACTATCGTTGCGTTGCTCGTTGCTCGGAGGTTCCTGCCCCCGGTGCCTCCTATTGTTGCGCTGCCCGTTGCCCAGACGTTCCTCGGGATCCCCGCAGGGGCAGTTCAAGAAGTCCTAAGATCCTGGCGCTGCAATTTTTTCACGCCGGGCGTTCTCGCTCAACTTCGGGCCTTAGGACCCTCACAGATCGTTCCAGCTCGAAAAATGAGTCAGGATGATGGGGTCCGAGGCTCCAGTCGTGATTTTTCTGCGATGTTGCAACGTCGGATCTCAGGGCATTGCGTTGCAGCCGTGAGCAGCAGAACCATTGCTGGGCGGGGAGTGATCCCCCCCCCTCGACGAGGGGACCCCGTCCAAGCACTTGGAGCCCGATCAAGCCGCGCAAGTGGACGTCGTCGACTGAGAGCGGGCGTTCATCAACGAGCTACTGGGAGGTGTCGCACTGTGGCGCGGAGACGTCGGGCGCCCCTCCGTTTTGCAATCAGAGTCGAGCACATACGAGCAGACACTCGAGGAAGCCGATGGGGAACGCGGACTGCGCGGTCGGAGTCGCCCTCCGCATGCGGGGCGGCATGGTGGCCCCAGCGAGGGATGCTCGTTTCGAGCACCGCAGTTCCCCAGACATCCAAGCTCGAGTTCCAGGGGCGCTCGGCCCCTCCCACTCGGCGAAAGAGCAAGGCCGGCAGCTTGCTCCGCCAGCTGATCCGCACGTCCGCGGCTCAGCGTGCGTCGTCCCGCTCGAAGCTCGCGTTCGTGCGCGCGCGCGTGCTCCAGCCCTCCTGCGGTGGCTCCTCGCGACCACCCCCACCGAGACCCTCTTGAGCTTCAGTCTGGGGTGCAAAATGTCGGCGCCGCTCCTGCTCGAGGCGCCCTTCGGCTTGAGTCGGGCATGTCCCTCTACAGGAGGGGTATTCCAAAATGCTCGAAAGATCATCCCGGGGCCATTCTTCGAGCATCTGTTGACCATGTTTGAGTACCTTTGGGGTATTTCTGGTTTTTCGTGCAAAATCCCCCCCTGCAGGGAGGGGGACACGCCCGACCGAACCTTCGGCCCTCTCGGCCTCGCGGGCGCCCGCGGGCCGCGGACGCGCTTCCGGAGCGGAGCTGCAGGAGGTGGCACACCCGCCTCGTCGGGCACCCGGCCTGGCCGCTCGAGGCCGCCGCGCCGCCTACTTCAAAGGACGACGACGACGACGACGACGACGACGACGACGACGACGACGACCTCCTGCGGCGACGCCGCCGCCGCCGACGCCGCCGCCGTCGACGACGACGACGACGACGACGACGACGACGACGACGACGACGACGACGGGGGCGGCGGCGGCGGCGACGACGACGACGGCGCGCCTGAGGCGGCGCGGCACGGCAGCCGCGGCTCCTCCGGCGGCGGCTGCTCCGCTGGGGGGGGCCGCGGACCGCGCGCGGCGGCACACGACAGCGCGGGGATCCTCAAGGCCGCTGGGGGCTCGCGGGAAGGGTCGTGGAAGCGCAGGAGGAGGAGAAGGAGGAGGAGGAGGAGAAGGAGGAGGAGGAGGAGGAGGAGGAGGAGGAGGAGGAGGAGGAGAGGAGGAGGAGGAGGAGGAGGAGGAGGAGGAGGACAAGGAGTATGGAGGATGAAATGGGGGACGAGGACAAGGAGCATAGATGATGATCAAGAGAAGGAGGAGAGGAGGAGGAGGAGGAGGAGGAGGAGGAGGAGGAAGGAGAAGGAGAAGGAGGAGGAGGAGGGTTATGGGAGGAGGAGGAGGAGAAGTGATGAAGAGGAGGATGAGGAAGAGGAGGAGGAGGAGGAGGAGGAGGAGGAGGAGGAGAAGGAGGAGGATTGAGGAGTATGGAGGAGGAGGATTGAGGATTGAGAGGTTGCTCAGAGGCGGCAGTACACGGCACTACCCAAGACCAGCACCACCCAGCACAGCACACAGCGAGAACAGCTACAACCGCTATGCTACGCAGTGGGTCCCCAAGGACTTTTCTCACCCACACATGCGACATAGTGCAAAGTGTTACGCAGTGGGTCCCATAGGGGCTTTTTCGCCCACAGAAAAAGCATCACACGACGAGCAGCGTCAGAAATGAAGCAGGAAGATCGCCACCACAGCAGACTGGCTGAGGGCCTCAACCAACCTCCATTCCCTACCAGCTCACCTTCTTTCAGCCTCTTTACCCCCCGCCTCACCCACGCTAGCCTTCTCCTCCCCCCCTCGAGAGGTGGCGGGAATGGCCTGGGCGAGGATCATGAGAGGGGAAGGGACAAGGGACCCACCGCAGGCCGCCCTGGCATGGGCCAGGGCGGCCGCGGCCACGTCCCAACGGGCTGGCCACCTTGGAAGGGCCGCCGCCACGGCGAGCGTGGCTCAGGCCGCGCCCGCGCGGCTCACGCGGTGCACAGCGGCCGCGTGCCCCAGGGATGGAGCCCCTCCCACCTTTCGGCCTGCGTCCTGCCCTGCCTCAGCCGTGTCACGCCGTCTGCACCTCGAGCGAGGGCGAGCCGCGCCAGCTGCCGCCTCCGCTCGAAGCCGGCCTCTCGTCCTCCTCGAGCGTCGCGCTCTCTCCGTGCTTTTTCTCGCGGCACTCGGCGTGGCCAGTGCGAGACCACCTCGGCCCGCCTCCCTCGGCCAAAAGCTCGCACGGGTGCTGCGCCGTGCGCCCCTCTCCCGGTGTGCTTCTGCTTGGCCCACGCCTGGCCACGGGGCTCAACGATGCAGCCCCGCGCGCACTCCACGAAGCCGCCTGCCTGCCACAACGGGGGGGGGACGGAGAGGCTAAGGGGGGGGGGGGGGACCGGGGGGGGGGGGGAAGGGGAGACAACTCGAGCGAGAACCGAGCCACCTGCACGGAAGGCATAGCCTCCCCCACGCACGGTGGAGGCCCCGCGGGCGGCCACTGGCCCCACGGTCGGGGTGCCCCACTCCTGCTTGTCAGGAGAGGCTACCAGGCCGCAGGGCTGGTGGACGCTCCGGGGGGGGTCCTATGCGCAGGGGGAACAGCATTTGTTGCCTTCCACCTTGGCGCGAGTGGCGGGCCATTGGTGCGCGTGGGCGTGCATCGCCGCCGCCCCATCACACCCACCTCAGCACTGCGCCGCCGCTCAGCCTCACCGCCTCCTCTACACTGCACCGCTGCCCAGCCTCTCATTCCATCTCTTCCCCCCTCGTGTTCGTTATCATTGTTGTCGGTTGGCACCCCCCGTTACAGTTCTTGCAAACACCGCCAGTGACCCTTGGAGCGGTGCTCCAGGGGCCACCTGGCCTTAGTTTGATCAGCGGCCACAAGGCCGACTAGCCTTGTGGAGGGGGAGGGCTGCGACCGAAGATCTTGCCAGTCATCAGAACTCAGGATTCGGGAGGAGAGGGCAAGAAGCAGAGGAGGAGGAGGAGGAGGAGGAGGAGGAGGAGGAGGTGGATCGAGGAAGTGCAAACATGGACGAGGGCGAGTGGATCATCGACGGGTTCCCGAGGAGGTCGAGGGTCGAGGATCGAAGGGGGAAATCGAGCTAGGCCATGGCCGGAAAGCCGCATGCCTAGATTTATTGAATCGCTTCGTTCATGCCGCCGGCCCGTATTGTGCCATCGTTGGCGTTTGCGTGCGCGTTCGTGGCCATGCGGCGCTGCTGGTCGGCGCTGCAGCGATTCTGGGTGAGAGTCCTCATGGATGCTTCTGGGTGTCTCTTCCGAGTGTTCTCGGGGGTCTCCTGTGAAGCAGTTTCAGGGGTTCTTAGGGGCCTCCTGGGGGCGCCTTGGATGCCTCTTGGGGCTCTCGTGGCGCCTCTTGTGGGCCTCTTGGACCCTCTTGGGGGGCTCTTGGGGGCTGCTTGGGAACCTCGTGGGTCCTATTGGGAGCTCATCGGAGCTCGGGGGGGGGGGAGGCTCTGGGGGCGATTTGGAGGCCGAAGGCGTATTGAGAGCTGTTCGGAGGCTTGGGAGGGCCTCTAGGGGCGATTTCGAAGCTGAACGCTCGAAATGTCCGTTTGGGCTACCTCTCGAGGAGTCTTCCTACTGGTGTAGTGGGCTCTCCAGCGCCGTCTTGAGTAGAGCTTGGGCCGTCTTGGAGTCCCCGTGGGCCGTTTGTGGGTTCTCTTTGGAGGCTGAATGGGCCGTCTTGGACCGATCTTAGGGTCTTCTTGGGCCGTCTTAGGGCGTCGGCGGCCGAAAAGATGACAACGCTGAAAACCTTCAAAATAACAATGGAGAGTCGTGGGTTGTTGCCTCTACGGGGCTTTTTGGGAGTGGTCTCAGAGGCATCTTCGGGCGTCTTGGAGGCGGTTGAAGCCGTATGTAGGCTGTCTTGGGCATTCTGGAACGACTTCTGGTGACTCCGGGCCCTCCTGGGGGCCTTTCGAGACCGTTCTTGAAAGCCTCGAGGGTAGCCCCCAGGAGGTCCGGCATGTGTGACAGGGACCGCCCAGGAGTTTCGACGGGTCTTGGCATCGCTCGGACGTGTGCATTTTTCCTTCGGCGAGGGCCATCGAAGAGCACCCTTGATCATTCGGCGAAAATACCACGCAATGGACGTCCGAGCGATGGCCAGGGTAGCCCCCAGGAGGTCCAGCATCTGTGACAGGGGCCGCCCAGGAGTTTCGACGGGTACGTTTCGCTCGGGGGCCCCCAGGGGGCAGCCACGCGCGCGCGAGCCAGAAGTACTCGAAAGCTGTTGCCCGAGATGTTAGCACGCCTTCGGCCCGCCCGGCCGGCGGATGGGGCCCCAGAGGGGCCCGACCAGAATTGGTGCGTGTGCATGCTCTGTCTCGTCGGCGGAGAGGAGGAGGGCGTTCGAGGAGGAGTGATCGAGGATCGAGGGTCGACGAGGAGGAAGGAGAGGAGGGGGTGGAGTTGCAGGAGGACCACGAGGGACCATCGAGGGATCGAGAATCGGGGAGATCGAGGGATCGGTGACGAGGAGTTTTTCGGACACTTTCGTCGGCTCGTGGAGCTTCTCCGGCCTCAAGGTGCTCTCCTGAAGCTGCGCCTCGCCGAGGGCCTTCTCGGGATGCCCGGATCGCCCCGAACGGCCGCCAGAGACGCAAGCTACAACCCGAAAGGCTGGAAATGAAGGGGACCTGAGGGACCTGGCATCGCTCGGACGTGTGCGTTTTTTCCTCGGCGAAGACCATCGAGGAGCATCCTTGACCATTTGGCGAAAAAACCACGCACGAAACCGAAAAAAACACAGGGAATGGACGTCCGAGCGATGGCGAGGGGAAGCGGGCCCTGGAAATTTGCTCCCCGTTCTTGGGCCCCCCTGGGCCCTCCACGGGCTCCGGCGCCGCAGAGAAACGGCTCGGGACAAAGAGCCAATCCTGGGGAAGCCCCCAGAAAGTCCAGACATCTTCTCGCTTCGCAGGAAATCGCGACGAAGGTTCGTGTGTGTGTGTGTGTGTGTGCCAATTTACGTGAGGCCCCTCCTTCTGCCCCCCCTCTTTGTTCATTAAAGCTGTGCGCGGCCCGCTTAGCTTCGACCGGAAGAGGTGCGCTCTCGACCCGCGATTCAAAAGTGTGTGCCAATTTGGGGCCTCCTGGGGGCCATCACCGGCAGGAGTTTCTTCTCCAGCTGCCTGCGGCGAACCCCGCCACCGCGAGTGTGCAACAGCACGGCAGGAGGAAGGAGCCCGAGTGCAGGAAAAGCGCAACTGTTACGAGTGATCTAATTGGAGCCATGGTTGGGCATCCTGGGGCCTCCTGGGGGCCTCTTGGGGGCTTCTTGTGGGCTTCCTGCGGCCTCGTGGGGGCTTCGAGGGCGGTCTTAGGTGACTCTTGGCCCGTCTGACGCATTCGGAGATCGTGTTGGGGGCCTCTCCGGGCCGTCTGGGTGCCACCTTGGAGCGCTTCAGGGCCGTCTTCGGGCCCTCTTGTGAGCTCATCGGGCGATCTTTGGGCCCCCTTGGGGCCCTCTTGAGGGTCTCTTCGGCTGCCTTGAAACCTTCTTGGTGGCCTCTTGGAGGCCTCTTGGGCCGTCTTGGACGATCGGAAACCCCAAAAGGCGACGAGAACCTCAAAATCCACCAAAACCTCAGGAGCATCTTTCGTGTTGGCCTCCTCGGACTCTCCTGGAGGGCCTCTTGGAGCACTCTCGGGCCGTCTTGAGGGCCTCTTGAGCAGTCAAGGGCCATCTTGCCATCCTGGCCGTCTAGAGGCCGAAAGAAGGCCAGAAGGCAAGTCAAGGGGTACGATGTCCAAAGCACGCGGGCGGCGTGGAGAATTTAATCACTCTGGCGACGTACACAACCCCTGCGCAATGCGGGGCACTATTGGCCTGGGACACGTTATACAGAGGTGATGACGCGACATGGGCGCAAATAATTCTGCGAACGGCATTCGCGAGGCTCGCAGTCCCCCAGGGACTGCGAGGTCCAGCTCAGATCTGCGTGGTGCCTCATTCCGCTGGACCCGCCAGCAGCCCTCGAAAGTGGCGACAGTGTCGCAGATCGGAGCCCCCCAGGGACGGCGAGGCCTCGCTCAGATCCCCGCGGTGCTTCAGTCCGCAGGACCCACCAGCAGCCCTCGGAAGTGGCGACAGTCCCGCAGATCGCAGACCCCCAGGGACGGCGAGGTCTACCTCAGATCCCCGCGGTGCCTCAGTCCGCAGGACCCACCAGCAGCCCTCGAAAGTGGCGACAGTGTCGCAGATCGCAGCCCCCCAGGGACGGCGAGGTCTCTCAGATCCCCGCGGTGCCTCAGCCTCCCGCAGGACCCACCAGCAGCCCTCGAAAGTGGCGACAGTGTCGCAGATCGCAGCCCCCCAGGGACGGCGAGGTCTCGCTCAGATCCCCGCGGTGCCTCAGTCCTCAATGGCCACCAGCAGCCCTCGAAAGTGGCGACAGTGTCGCAGATCGCAGCCCCCCAGGGACGGCGAGGTCTCGCTCAGATCCCCGCGGTGCCTCAGTCCGCAGGACCCACCAGCAGCCCTCGAAAGTGGCGACAGTGTCGCAGATCGCAGCCCCCCAGGGACGGCGAGGTCTCGCTCAGATCCCCGCGGTGCCTCAGTCCGCAGGACCCACCAGCAGCCCTCGAAAGTGGCGACAGTGTCGCAGATCGCAGCCCCCCAGGGACGGCGAGGTCTCGCTCAGATCCCCGCGGTGCCTCAGTCCGCAGGACCCACCAGCAGCCCTCGAAAGTGGCGACAGTGTCGCAGATCGCAGCCCCCCAGGGACGGCGAGGTCTCGCTCAGATCCCCGCGGTGCTTCAGTCCGCAGGACCCACCAGCAGCCCTCGAAAGTGGCGACAGTCCCGCAGATCGCAGACCCCCAGGGACGGCGAGGTCTACCTCAGATCCCCGCGGTGCCTCAGTCCGCGGGACCCACCAGCAGCCCTCGAAAGTTGCGACAGTGTCGCAGATCGCAGCCCCCCAGGGACGGCGCACACACACACACACACACACACACACACACACACACGAGGTACGCACAAGACAAGAAGAGACAAGACGGAAGCGGGAGGCGCGAGAAGAAGGAGAAGGACGCGATCACAGTGCTCTATTCAAAACGAATACCCAACCAAGGAGGGTTGGGAAAAAAGGCTCTTAGACAGCAGAAGAGCAGTCTTGCACGCCCCAACAGGGCACAAGTCCCGGTAGTGGACTCTCTGATTCAAAAATTATAGTCTGGGGACGATTTTTGATATTTTTTGACCACTTGGGGGGTATTGTTTGACCGTGATTTATTTGTCGTCCAAAATCCGCCTGTAGGGGGAAATGCCCGACCTAAAGGTAGTGAAGGGATGCTCGCTCCATCGAACTTGTTATGGCAAGATTTCTTCTCGTGTGTTCCGTAGCCTTTCGGCCCAGGTTTGTTTCCCGACAGGGAAAAGCATATTGAGAGTTCCGTGGCTCAAACACATCTCTTGAGATGGAGGCCTTCGAGGTGCAACGGCACCAGGGGCCAGTGCCACAGGTGCGCCCGCACGTCAGCCCACTCACAGTGAGCCTGTTCATCCTTGTCGTGGAGGTCTGCGAACGCTTCTGTTACTATACCTTGCAGGGCACTCTGCGCAACTTCTTGATGGAAGTGGGTCCAACAGACGCCCAGGGAAAGCGGGGCCTCTCACAGGGAGCGGCGACCGCCATTTCGGCATGTTTCAGCATGCTCGCTTACCTGACATGCATACTGGGGGGATGGATGTCTGACAATGTGCTTGGCCGCTACCGGACAATACTGTATTTCTCCGCCGTGTATGTGATAGGGGCGTGGATCCATGCAATAGCAGCATGGCCTAGCATTATGAGGACTGCAGCCTCATTACCAATTTCGTTGATGGGGTTATCACTCTTCATTGCCGTTGGCACTGGCACCATCAAGCCGAATGTGATGAGTTTCGGCGCTGACCAGTTCGACACTACCGACTCGGTACAGAAAGCGCAGCAAAAACAGTTCTTCACAATTTTCTACGCTTCGATAAACATTGGAAGCTTCATGGCGGTCGGATTCACTGTGAACTTGGCCACGTCAGGCATCACGAAGGACAGCGCGGGCTCTGGCTTCTTCTGGGCGGGGCTGATCGCCGCTTTGTCGATGCTATGTGCCAACATTACCTTCGTTGCAGGGGTTAGGTTTTACAAGGGAAGGGACAAGCCGCAGCACGCGCCGATGCTTCAGATTCTGAGTCGTCGCCTAACCGACGCGGCCTCTCGAAGCGTCAGAGGTAAGATCGCTTTGCTAGGATGGGGCCTCATTCCAGTCTCCATGGCCATTGTCATGGTCGGGTCCATGGCGACCGACTTCGACCCCAGGCTAGCGAAGGCCATGTCATGGACGGGGTTCGCGATGTCGGCACTTTCCTGTGCCATGCTGATCGCTGCCCACCACCAAAATGATTTCATCGCGCCGCTCCCAGCCCAGGCTCTGCAGGAAAGCGACATCACCGCTTCAGACGTAACAGAGTTTCTCTCGTGCGTCCCAACCATGTTTTGCATCAGCGTGGGGTTCGGCATCCCCTACAACGCCGCCAGCAACGTCTACGCCGCCCAGGCTTGCCAGATGGATGTCCGCCTGTTCGGCACTCAGGTGAACGGAGGCTTCTTCAATCTAGCAAATGCTGTGGCCATCGTCTGCATGGCGCCGATCGTCGCCGTGATAATGCTTCGACTAGAGCAAGCTCTGCAGCGACCAGTCACCCTGACAGAAAAGGCGACGTCGGCATTCGCATTCGTGATATCTGCTAACTTCTCCGCGGTTATTATCGAGTTCATTCGCAAGGAGATGTCCCTGGGCAGCTCTCCCAACTTCGTGCCGTGCCCCCAGGACAGACCAGAGAATTGGCAATGCACCGCTGGCGACGTGTACCTTCTCTCCAAGTGCACGCCCAACGGTAGCATCGCGATGACGAACATGTCGGCGATGTGGATGATGATCCCGCAGTTCCTCACTGGCGTGGGGGAGCTCCTCTGCAATCCAGTGATGTATCAGTTTCTGTACGACGAGGCTCCCGCACGGCTCACGTCCTTGGCACAGGCCCTCAATCTGGTGTGCGCTGGGGCCATCTCCAACGCTATCACGGCAGCCTTTGGGGCGCTGGTCCCCGAGGATTTCAATAAGGGTTCCCTGAATTATTTCTACTACGCGTCCATGGCGGTCGCCGCGTCTTTCCTTGCGGTCTACTGGGTGGTTAAGCTCCCCGAGAAGGCACCGCCCGAGCCCACTCCGCCGGAGGAGCAGCGAGGTCTTCTTGTGTCGACGACCACGCTTGAAAGTGCAAAGCGAGCGTAGAGGAACGCAACCCCTTCGTATTAATTCAAGCTTGATTGGTCGTGCATCTGTATCCGAGGCAAGCATTCGAGTGGGCACGTGTGTGCAAATCTAGTCTTAGATTTCCAGTTTATCTGTCTGGTGCTTTCGATTAGCCTGCCACAGTGGCCTTCACGTAGCCATGTTCGCTGCCAGTTTTTCAACGTTCGCAGCACAATCTGGGGTGCGTAGCCACCCTGTTCTGACAACTCCCAGGACGTGTATATGCAGATTGTGGGTGTGTATGTATATATATATATATATATATATATATATATATACGTATGCAGATACATTCATGTATATATATATAGGTTGTAGATATAGAACATCCGTGGATCGGAGGAGCGATAGTTGTTGGATTCCTTCGCCGTTACCTTTGACCCATCAGCGTTCCGGACTGAGATCTAGGACTTCACACCATGTGAGCCGATTCCCTGTGACCAAGCGGCTGGAGCGGCCTTCCGCTGGCATGCTCGCCGAATCCACCTAGGCACACCAGACATAATTCCAAGCGGTTTCCGAACACGGGGACGGCGTGGAGAGTCTGAGCTCCAGGAAGGCCCCTGTTGAGCTGATCCCATTTTCGACAGTTCATACAATGTTGCGGAAAAACAAAAGAATGGTCGGAAGAGCGACTCCAACGCTTCCGTGGGCCGCGGCAGGACCTCTGCGCGCGCGTATCGCGCGCGCGTGGTCTCCTGCATATGTCGGGCAGGTAGTCTCCCTTGGGAGAGCGCCGCCACTCTAAAACGACTTCACCGACAGCCGCAGAAGAAGATGCATGTTCGTGTGTATCTGCCATACGGCCGTGACGCCGTCGCTTCTGCCGACGTCTTTGCGTTCTGAAAAATCAAGACGGGCAGCGTCTGGCTATTTTCGTACTGGGCCCCAGGACCATGAACAAAACGGCTCGGGGCGAAAAGCCGGTCCCTCGGAAGGGGTCCAGACCTCTGGGGAGCAACGTTGTGAAAGCATAGTATGTCTCTGTGCGACAGTGCAACAGTCACGCTGTCGCCGCCGCCGCTCGCCGCCGATAGCTGCCACCGCCCGCCGTCGCCGCCGCATGAAATTTAAGGAAGAAATGCCTCCTCTTCCATCCGTCTTCACCATTTCCCTGTAGTCCTCCCTTATCGCCCTCCCTTGTCGTCCTCCTCATTCCATTCTGAAGATGTCAGGACATCTCCGAAAGCCTCCGACAACCTCTGCACCATTTCAAACACTGATTCGAAAACTTCCGACACGCACACACGCACACACAGTGCGTCACCCCCCGCCATCTTCCCTCCCCCTCCCTTCGTCCTCTCCCTTCTTGTCCTGTTTCCCCAACTCAATCCTCTCGGGCCATTTTCCTCCTTCTCAATCCTCCTCCTCGATCCTCCTCCTCTTCCTTCTCCTCCTCCTCCTTTTGCTCCTCCTCCTTGCTTCCTGCTCCTCCTCCTCCATGCCTCGTCCTCCCTGCCTCCTCCTCCTCCTCCTCCTCTCCTCCTCCTCCTCCTCCTCCTCCTCCTCCTCCTCTTCCTCCTCCTCCTCCTCCTCCTCCTCCCTGGCTCCTCCTCCCTGGCTCCGTCTTCGTGCTCTACTTTCAGAAGTACCTCCCGCACGGCGCTGGGTGGTGCTTCGCACGGCGGTGGGAGGTTGGCACACGAGCCATCGGATGCACGTCGCCCTCGACAAGAACAACGGCTGCTTCGGGTGCGTCGGCCCAGCCGGTTCGATCAGCCACTGCTTGCAGTGCGGGAGGCTCATCCATTCCACCGCTCTCCCGAGCCTTCCTTCGCCCCGACTCGGTTCACCGCCCTGGCCTGGGAAAGAGTTGCCCTGAAGACGAAGACGACTCGCTGTTGGTGAGCGTGCAGCGCACTGTCCTGAGCTACTGCATCGACCTGGAGACCAAGACCTCCGGTGACTGCACGTAGACATGCCACACATCCTGGCGCGCTCTGCCGCCCTCGACACGCTGAACGCCCGAGTGCAGCTTCGGCCGCGAACCCGCGGACAGAGGACTTGTCCTTCTCATCCTCCTCCTCCTCCTCCTTCCTGCCCCTCCTCCTCCCCACCTACTCCTCCCTGCTCCTCCTCCCCACCTACTCCTCCCTGCCCCTCCTCCCCACCTACTCCTCCCTGGCCCTCCTCCCCACCTCCTCCTCCTCCTCCTCCTCCTCCTCCTCCTCCTCCTCTTCCTCCTCCTCCTCCTCCTCCTCCTTCTCCATTTCTTCTCCTTATAGCCCTGTCGCACCCCGAGGCCAGTTTTTAGGGCGGCCCGGACGTTTCGCCTGAGACGTCCCCACCATTTATGAGCCTGAAGCTTAAAAAGTGAAAACAGTTTCACAGATGGAGGGCGGGTGGTTTTCAAAATGTGGCTCTCGCCTTAGCGCCGCGCACGTTCGTTTCAAAAATTTGCAAGAGCTTCGCGGATTGAGGGCGGGTGGTTTTCAAAGTGTGGCTCTCGCCTTAGCGCCGCGCACATTCTTTGTTTAAAGATGCAAGAGTTTCACAGATTGAGGGCGGGTGGTTTTCAAAATGTGGCTCTCGCCGTAGCGCCGCGCACATTCGTAAGATGCAAGAGGTTCACGGATTCAGGGCGGTTCGTTTTCAAAATGTGGTTCTCGCCTTAGCGACGCGCACATTCGTTTTTAAATTTGCCAGAGTTTCACCATTTCCCATGATCAGCGTACCAGACATGGCGTTTTGGAATGAGTCAGGATTCTGCGGGCGCAACAGTTATGTTGATTCGCTGTGTTGAAGTCCCAACAATGGCGTTCTGGCACGATTCTGGATCGTCAAGACGCAGCTGTCAGGTTGATACGTGGCGCTGAATCCCGAGAACCATGTTTTGGCTTGCTTCAGGATCGTCAAACTGCTGTCTTCCAACGAAGCAGCTCCCTCAATGGAAATGAACCGTTGTAGGGGCCTGTGAAGAGGGAGCTTGGAGGGAGGGTTGATTCCAACATCATTGATGACTCTTGGGTTTCCACTGGTCCTCCTCCTGCTCCTCCTCCTCCGCATCCGCATCCGCATCCGCATCCGCATCTGCATCCGCATCCGCATCCGCATCCTCCTCCGCATCCGCATCCTCCTCCTCCTCCTCCTCCTCCTCCTCCTCCTTCTCCTCCTCCCCCTCCTCCTCCTCCTCCTCCTCCTCCTCCTCCTCCTCCTGATGTCTCATTTTCCCAGGCCGACCAGGGTCGGTGAACCTCCTGCAGGCGGCAATGGGCTGCGGTCTCCCGCAACGAGCAGACAGGTCACGGCCTGCTGCAGCCTCACTGCGAGGCGCGATCCCCAGGGTTCGGACTCGAGTTCGGACCCAAAGCCCGCGGGATCCTGAGCGGGACCTCGTTGGGACCTGTTGCGAGCCTTTGTGCGGGGCGCTCGCCGCCTCCTCGAGGCGGTCGGCGAAGGGACGCAGGAACTCAGGGGTGAGGCCGAAGCGTGCACACCTTTCCTGAGCCGCCCACCCCTGCCCCCCCCCGACACGAGTCACCGCCCCGTGCCCCTCGGGCTGTGGCCCAGCAGGGCGGAGCAGCGAGGCGCCTCGCAGGCCAAGGCAGGCGGCACGTGCGGGGGTCGGGCGCCGAGGGCCCGCGTGCGGGCCCGATGACCCGGCCGCTGCGTTGCGGGGCCCCTCCTGGGGAAGAGCCCTTCCGCCGCTCGCCTGCGTTGGCGTCGGAGGGCCATCGTGAGCGAGGAGGGCCGACGGGGTTGGCAGGTGCGTGTGATGTCCCCCCACGCGTGAGCCCCGCAGCTGGTACAGGAAATCAGGGGCGACCCTCGGGCGATTTTGGGAGACCGGCGGGCCCGCTGATTCAAGAAACCGAGAGAGCATGATTGGTGAGACACGTGAGCGTGGCCAGATCTGGAGTTCCTTCTTCCCAGCGCATCGAACATGTCGCGACTCGAAGCCTCGGAAGCAGCAGCTGTTGTGACGGTCCCGCTCTGTCGTCTTCGCGGTTGAGCTCAGCCTCCAGACGTTGTGTTTTGTCGGGGGGCTGGTCAGCATCTCGCATCCCTCTGTTGGCTATGCCGACCTCTTGCCCCCCCCCGCCCAACGCAGAATATGTCCTACAATGTGGGAGGGCGCCCGAATATGCGTCTTGGCCACGTCCGTGGCGGGGTGGAGGCTGACCCCTTTCTTGGCCAACTCGCCGACGCGGTCAGAGCCAAGCTTTGCGGAAGCTGCCGAGCGGCTTGTCTCAACGCCATTCCACGAGCAATGGGCTTTAACCTTAGTGACCGAGTGTGGCACTGAGTTTATATATATACACATATATATACACATATATAGAACGAATAGATAAATACATAAATAAATATAAATATACATCGATGGTGCACTCGCCTCCACAGATGGGCGTTGCGGGAGCTTGAGTCACAGGCCGTGGCGGGGTGTAAATCACAAACGATGGCCACCGCACAGTCGATGAAAAAGTCGGGTTCCTTAAGGGCGTCGGCGTAGCCTGACGCTGCCATCAGGACCGCGCAATCTTCCCCGTCTGGCGCTGTGTGGAAGGGGCCTGGCTCATACGGCGCCGCCCCATAACACCCCGCCACGAGCCCTCCCCCGTCGTCGACCATCGCCAGGCCCCAAACAGCTCGCGAGGACAGGGGGTCTGTCGGGTTCCTGGCGGAGCCGTCCGACAAGGTGTTTCCAGACAGCATGCCGTTGGGTAGTCTGCTGGCCCACACTATGTGAGCCTGGCTGGCACGGAGCGGGAGAGGAGCCAGCTCGAAGGGAGAGGGGAAGATGCGGGTCCTGACCCCAGCTTCCCATCTGCAAGGCAACGCTCCGCACAAGCGGGTCGAGCGAGGAGCGGCGTTCAGCTTCGAACGCGTCGCAGCAGAAGCGGCGGTGAAGAAGAGTGCCAGGTGCGTTGAGGCAGAGCTTGCATAGCGGAGATGGCGCAAAAGCCCGTTTGCATGAATTCTGGCTTGCGTCCAATTACATTGTGAAATCAAATTGCGAATTGCCTCCTGATGGTGGGGTCCTCCTCACCCTCCTCCTCCTCGTCCTCCCCTTTTCCTCCTCCCTGCCTCCTCCTCCTCCCTGCTTCTTCCTCCTCCTCCTCCTCCTCCTTCTCCTCCTCCTCCTGCTCCTGGTTCTCCTCCTCCTCTTCTTCCTCCTCCTCCCTCCTCCCTCCTCCTCCCTCCGCCTCCCTGCTCCTCCCTCATCCTCCTCATCTCCCTCCTCCTCTCCCTCTTCCTCCTCCTCCTCCTCCTCCTCCTCCTCCTCCTCCTCCTCCTCCTCCTCCTCCTCCTCCTCCTCCTCCTCCTCCTCCTCCTCCTCCTCCTCCTCCTCCTCCTCCTCCCTCCCCTCCCCCTCCTCATCCCTCCTCCTCCTCCGCCTCCGCCTCCGCCTCCGCCTCCTCTTCCTCCTTCTCCTCCTCCTCTTCCTCCTCCTCCTCATCCTCCTCCTCCTCCTTCTCCCCCTCCCCCTCCCTCTTCATCCTATTCTTCAGCATCCGCATCCTCGTCCCCTCCCCACCCCCACTCTGCAAGGCGACCTCCCGCGGCGGGTCGAGGCCGGACTCCCGAGCAGGCTCCTTCGCACGCCGCCCCCCCCTTTCGGGGGCCGCGGAGCAGACGCTTCCTGGGCGGCAGCAGCGCCGACGCCGACGCCGACGCCGACGCCGACGCCGACGCCGACGCCGACGCCGACGCCGACGCCGACGACGACGACGACGACGACGACGACGACGACGACGACAACTTTCATTCATCCAGCCTTCGCACCTCGCTCCTCCCTCCTTCCGTCATTCCCTCCATCCTCCATTTCCTCCTCCCCCTCCTCGTCGTGCTGATGGTGTCGCCACGTCCGTGCGGGCGACGACGGAGGAGGGCCACACGTGGTTGCAGCATGCTGGACCCCGTCCGACCAGACCGGCCAGATCGCCAGTGCGTGTCCACGCTCGGGGCCTCCACCCGCAGGCAGGCCCGTCTCCCATGCGTGTCGCACTAGTCGTTGCACCCTGTACCTTCTCGGACCTGCCTCTTTAGAGGCGGGCCAATCAATGCTCCGTGCCCCCTATTCCTCCTCCTCCTCCTCCTCCTCCTCCTCCTCCTCCTCCTCCTCCTCCTCCTCCTCCTCCTCCTCCTCCCCTCCTCCTCCCCCTCCTCCCCCCTCCTTCCCTTCTCCTCCTCCCCCTCCTCCTCCTCCTCCTCCTCCTCCTCCTCCTGCTCCTCCTGCTCCTCCTCCTCCTCCTCCTGCTCCTCCTCCTCCTCCTCCTGCTCCTCCTCCTGCTCCTCATCCTCCTCCTCTCCCTCCTCCTTCTCCTCCTCCTCCTCCTCCTTCTCCTCCTCCTCCTCCTGCTCCTCCTCCTCCTGCTCCGCCGTGCGGCTTCCGCTTCTGGAGGGCCCGAGCCAGGGGCCGTGGGTCGCACTTCGGCTACGCTCGCCGGACAGAATCCCAGTATTCCTAAGTCGGGCCTGTCCTTCTACAAGAGGAGTGTAAAAATATTCAAAAAATAGTCTGCGGACCATTGTTTCCACACGTTGCGCATTGTGTTGAGCATCTGGGGGGTATTTCGCATGTTTCGTCCAAAATCCCCCCCTGTAGGGGGGACAGGCCCGACTTGACACTAGTCTCTGCTGTCTCGGTCGAGGGTCCGAGTCTGGGGCACACGCCCTCCTCATGCAAGCCCCATGGCCGTCGGGTCAGGGGCCAACCAGGGAGGGGACGCCGAGGGGGCCGAGTCCCGACCGGTACGTTCACATCCGAGGAGGCGGGCGTGCCACCCGCGAGCGACGCCATCGCAGAGGAGTGGCGGCCTCTGTCCCTCCGCCCTTCGTCCTCCGACTTCGATCGGCGGGGAGGGGCGTCACCGATGCAACAACCCCCCACAAACCATTGAGTCGAAGAACTGGTTCCCACCAGACGCGCGACTGTCAGGAACATAGCAGAGAAGAAGCCCAATCAGCGGATGGCTTGAAAACCGTGGCAGGTACCATGCCTGGCCGCATGTTCGCCGGAAAGCCCGGAGAGACGCTAAATGTTGATTCCTTGTAGGTGTTATGAGGGTCGTGGCATGCTCGCCTTTTCGGGCGTCGGATTGAGTGAGATGGATAGTGAGATCGATGGTCAGATAGATTGTTAAATCGATAATGAGAGCGATGGTGAGATCGATTGAGTGAGATGAATAGTGAGATCGATCATGAGATCGATAATGAATCGTGGGATCGATAAAGAGATCGATAAGGAGACGACCGGGAACCCTGGAACCGAGAACCCACCGAAATCGGCCCGGAACCAATAACCAGGAACCCAGGAACCCGGAACCGGGAACCCAGCCGGCTACCAACATCGGCGGGAAAGTTTCGCCAAATCTTTCAATATAGGACCCCTTCAGTGCAAGCAGTGATTGGGGAATGAGACATGAGACCTCCAAGAGTCCCTGATGGCATATCCTTTCGGCAGGGGAAGTTGTTTCCGGCAGCGGGCTTTGGTAAATTGCCGCCACCCAATTAGGTATTATGATGGTCGCCTCATCCTTAAAAAAGATGGGTTTGCTCAGGTTCCCTGAGAGCCTATTGCGTACTTGGCAGTCCTCCTCATCCTCCATCACCTCCACCTCCTCCTGCTCCTCCTCCTTCACCTTCACCTCCACCCACACCTCCACTTCCTCCCTCCCTACCTCCCTCCTTTCCTTCCTCCCTCACTTCTGTTTCGTGCGAGCGTCCGACGAGGCAGGAAGCTTCGTTCGGAGCTACGGTGCATCTCGTAATGACGCCGACCGCTCTGAGCTCCTGAGTCGGATATGCCGGGACATCTCACGCACCCTCTAACAAGGGAACGCGGAGATGATCCTGAGCGCCTTGGGGCGGTAAGGGGCAGATGGCTGCTTCTGCGGGCTCCCACCACCAGCAGCCCCTGCACGACAACAGCCAGCAGCAACAGCACCACCTCCAGCAGGACGGCCACCTTTCCCACTGCCGCGATTCCCACCACGGCTACCAACACGCCCACCACGATCACCCCTTTCATCTCCACCCACCCCTGACGCCGTCACTAGCACCCGGCGTCCAGCAACTCGACGACGGCAGCGCCGCGACGATCGCCGCGACTGCCACAGCGCCGGCGGCCACCACCACCACCACTCCGACCACTACGACTACCACCACCACGCCGCCTTCCACGGCCACCAGGACGACATCCACCACCGCCCCCCGCCCGGCCCCCCCTCTTCCTCTTACTTTCCTCCCCCTGCCGCCCCTGCCAGGCAGCCCCTGCATTCATTTCTCCCAGCATGCTGTAGGCAGTTGTGTTGCGCTTTTCGGGGCTAGGGGCCTGGGACCAGAACCCCAACGCAGAGGAGTCCCCCTTGGTGACGGGGGTGGGGACCCACTCGGGTGCCCCCGGGCCGTTTCGAGAGGGAGGGAGGGAGGGAAAGAGGGAGGAGACGGAGGAGGGCGGAGGGCGGAGGCAAGAGGAGGAGGGAGGCAGGAGGGAGTGGCCAGGTCGCGACGGGCCAGGAGGACATCAAGGGGGGGAGGGGGGAAGAAGGGAAGAGGAGGAGGAGGAGGAGGAGGAGAAGCAGGAGGAGGAGGAGGCTTGACCAAAACCGGCCTGAGCGCCAGTTTGCCAGAGAGAAGGAGGAGGAGGAGGAGGAGGAGGAGGAGGAGGAGGAGGAGGAGGAGGCGGAGGAGGCGGAGGCGGAGGCGGAGGCGGCGGCGGAGGAGGGGGCAGGGAGGGAATGATGAGCTCCTGGAAGACGACAATGGCGACGACGGCGGCGACGACGGCGACGGCGGCGACGAAGGCGTCGGCGACGGCGGTGGCGGCGGCGACGGCGGCGGCGACGCGCGCGAGCGCGGTCCTTGGCATGGGGGTCGGCCAGCCCAGGCTCCGAGGTCCACGGCCGGCACGCCACGATCTCCGCGCAGGACGCCGCGTCGGTGGTCCCCGCGACGGGGCGGGCTCGGGGAGGCAGGGCTGCGAGGAGAGAGAGGGAGAGGGCCCATGCATACTCGAGGCGGGGGGAGGAGGAGGAGGAGACGAAGGAAGAGGAGGGAGGAGGAGGAGGAGGAAGAGGAGGAGGAGGTCGGCGTCGTCGTCGTGGCGCGAGGAGGACGAGGAGGAGAAGGAGGAGGAGGAGGGATCTCTGGGGTGACCTCTCGGATGCTTTTTGGAGGCGGATTTGAGGGTGTCGTAGAGCGTCTTGGGGGCCTCTTAGGGCCTGATGGGGCCTCTTGGGGTCCTCCTCCTCCTCCGCCTGCTCCGCCTCCTCCTCCTCCTCTTCCTCCTCCTCCTCCTCCTCCTCTTCCTCCTCCTCCTCCTTCTCCTCCTCCTCCTCCTCCTCCTCCTCCCCCTCCTCCTCCCCCTCCTCCTCCTCCACCTCCACATGAAAACAGCCACCAAGCTGTGCTTGAAGAATGCCCAAGACGTGGCGCGCATCGCAGCCCTAGCGTACTACTCCTACGACGTGCCGAAAGAGGGGGATATTGACAAGGCAGTCACAGGAGCTGCCCGCGCCCATAATGACAAGTACACGGGGCAGTTTGTGCACACTGGTGGATCGCCCGATATACACAGGTTCATTGCTCTCCTGCTGGCGCCGCACAGCCACGGCGACCAGGAGCAAAAGAAGACCATTGAGGCTTTCATGCAAGGGTTCTCGCCTGCGAACAAGCACATTCAACAAGTGGTCGGGTGTTGCGTCTGCCAGCATGCCTTCAAGTCGGACCGTCGGAAGCTCTTCTTCAAGCTCCTGCGGGCCCCGGAGTTGACGGAAGCCGACAAGAATACGCTTGAGGACGTTATCGACACGCTCCTGACCACGAATGGCGCTGTCCGTAGGCTCGGCCGCGCCCCGCGCGGCTCCCGCAAGCGCCAGGCCCAGCAGCTGCTCGACCTGATCTCCCAGGGCAAGAGCGATGCCGACCTTGCCACCGTCGACGCCGGCAAGGGGGCGGTAACCGATGAGTTCTGAGATGTTCTGGGGCTCAAGTTTTTAACGCCAGCGGACCACAAGTTTTGGTCGTAACGGCGCCGCTGCCTCTCGCTCTCCGGGTTACAGTAGTCTACACACGGAGTGTATGTCTCGCGACGTGGGTGCCGTCCGCGAGGTTGCGGCAGCCAGGGCCATCCAGTGCAGTTTTGTTCACGTGTATGTGGGAGTCCGCTTGGCTGTCTCGAGCCGCTCTCGTGGCTTCCGCTCCTGCCCCCTCCCCTCCCTGCTCCCCCTGTCTGTCTCTTCGTGTCCCCCTCTCCTGCAGGGGAAGAGGGTTAGCAATCGTGCTACGTGTCTCTTGATGTGGAGACCTTTCCGCCTGAGGTCCACTGCTTTTTTTGACTCGTGCAACAGTCGACGGATCTCGCCGAGCGGTTCCTGGCCTGTCCTGTGTCCTCCTCCTCCTCCTCCTCCTCCGCCTCCTCCTCCTCCTCCTCCGCCTCCTCCTCCTTTTTCTCCCCCTCCCCCTCCCTTCTCCTCCTCCTCCTCCTCCTCCTCCTCCTCCTCCTCCTCCTCCTCCTCCTCCTCCTCCTCCTCCTCCTCCTCCTCCTCCTCCTCCTCCTCCTCCTCCTCCTCCTCCTCCTCCTCCCCCTCCTCGTTGAGGTCTGTGATGGCTTCTGGGGGTGTGAAGAGGCCATGGGTGCCTGTCCACGTGGACCAGGAGACGCTCGAGGTGTACCGACGCGGGTTCCAGGAGGAGCAGCAGCAGGACGCCAACAGGAAAAAGTTCATGGTCGGGAAGGCTTCTCGGCCTTCGAAGTCGACACCGGTGCCGCACAACCTGGGGAAGATTTTCGGGTTCAGGACCACTTGCGAGAAGTGCGCTGGGCTTCCGCCAGCGGCCACAGTGGAGCTGCAGAAGGAGACCGTGAAGGAGGAGGAGACGGAGTCGGTCAGCTTGAGCAACGAGCAGGCCTTGTCGTCGGACCCCAGCCTGAAGGAGGTTCTGAAGACGCATGCCACGAAGACCGAGGAGGAGTCGCCAGCGGACTGGGACCCGTACCTGGTGGTCGATGGGGTTATGGACGAGACGCAGGAGACGTTCAATCCATTGGGAGGCGCGATGCGGCTCAACCGCTGCACGTACAACAAGGAGTACCAGAGCATCCAGAACCAGCAGGAGAAGATGGTGAACCAGTGCAGCAAGGAGAAGAAGGTGAAGGACCTGCTCAACCAGGTGGGCAAAGAGATCTCAGCGCGGGCTGGCCTAGCATCGGCGAGTCGTGCCAGGTTGAGTGCTTCACCATCGGGAGCAGCGACGACGTGATCGAGACGGACCAGTACAAGTGCATCGACAAGATCTTCGTTCATTGGCGGAGGATGGCTGTGTGCGGAAGCCGGGCCCTCGAAGATGACGCAAAGAAATCGGACATCGACGGGGGGATCATGCTGAACAAGAACATCCAGGAGGACAGTCCTGGTGCGGGCCTGACCTTTTCTCCTGTTGGTCTTTCGGACGCTGATTCGCAGGTCGTCGGTAGCGGCGGCCTCTTCGACGACCCAGTGGTCGGTAGCGACCCCAGGTTTGACCTCCCTGATCCCCCGCCGTTCCCGAAGCTAGGGGTGGACCCTGGCCTGTCGGGCTCGGACGCCGCCGAGGCGGAGGCCCACGTCGAGGGCGCTGGCGCTGATCAGGAGCAGTCCCTCCATGGGCCCACAGCTCGGGACTCGGAGTCTGCCGACCGCATGCAGAAGGACTTCGAGGAATGAATCACCTTCACCTTGCGTTTCCAGGGGGCTCTGAGTCATCTCGGCGATCTTTCTGACACTGAGCGCCAGAATCTCCTCAAGGAAAATCTGAAGTGGATCGACGACGGCTATGCTCGCGGTTGCGTTGGCCCTTGCGTCCCCTTCAAGCTCGCTGGGCATTGGCACAGCTCGATATTTCGACGTTGGTCCGAGGTCCTTTCGGCTAGTCCCCCGTCGTGCCATCGAGCGCGGTACGGCGCTTCAGCGATGGCCCGAGGCGCGCTCGGCCTGCGCGCCAGGTTCCGTGGACATGGAGCGTGTAATCAAAGACCCTCCTCCTCCTCCTCCTCCTCCTTCTCCTCCTTCTCCTCCTCCTCACCCCCCTTCCCTCCTCCCCCCCCTTCCTCCTCCTCGTCCTCCTCATCCTCCTCCTCCTCCTCCTCCTCCTCCTCCTCCTCCTCCTCCTCCTCCTCCTCCTCCTCCTTCTCCTCCTCCTCCTCCACCCCCTCCTCCTCCTCGCCCCTCGTTCCTCCCCCTGCCCGCCCGAGGACGGCCAGAGCCGCGGGCGCGGGGACGCCCAGTCGCCTCCGGAGTCCGAGGCAGACACGTTCGGGCTCGAGGCGCGGCCCACCGTCGGCGTCGGCCGCCCGCGGCCCCAGGCATGCCTGCTGCCATCTTTCCTCCTTCTCCTCCTCCTCCTCTCCTCCTCCTCCTCCTCCTCCTCCTCCACCTCCTCCTCCTCCTCCTCCTCCTCCTCCTCCTCCTCCTCCTCCTCCTCCTCCTCCCTCCTCCTCCTCCTCCTCCCTCCTCCTCCTCCTCCTCCTCCTCCTCCTCCTCCTCCTCCTCCTCCTCCTCCCTCCTTCCCTCCTCCTGCTTCCTCCTCCTCCTCTCTCCTCCTCCTCCACCTCCTCCTCCTCCTCCTCCTCCTCCTCCTCTCCTCCTCCTCCTCCTCCTCCTCCTCCTCCTCCTCCTCCTCCTCCCCTCCTCGTCCTCCTCCATCCCATCTTTCCTTATCCTCCCTCCTCTTCGACCCCTCTTTCTCCTCCCTCCCCTTCCCCTGGTTCGTCCTCCTCCTCCCCTCCCTCCCTCCTCTTTCTCCTCTTTCCTCCTCCCCTCCCCTTCCCCTCTTGTTCCTCCTCCCCTCTTCTCCTCTTTCCTCCTCTTCCCCTCCTCCTCCCCTGGTTTTTCTTCCTCCCCTCCTCTCTCCTCCTCGTCATCGTCCTCGTCCTCCTCTTCTTCCTCCTCCTCCTCCTCCTCCTCCTCCTCCTCCTCCTCCTCCTCCTCCTCCTCCCCTCCCCTCCTCCTCCTCCTCCTCCTCCTCCTCCTCCTCCTCCTGCTCCTCTGCTCCTCCTGCTCCTCCTGCTCCTCCCCTCCTCCTCCTCCTCCTCCTCCTCCTCCTCCCTCCTCCTCCTCCTCCTCCTCCTCCTCCTCCTCCTCCTCCTCCTCCTCCTTCTCCGCTGTTTCATCCCCTCCTCCCCTCTTCGTTCCTCCTCCATCTCCCCCCGTGCCGTGGAAGGGATGGCCCTCGCAGTGGTGGCGACCGCCCTTAGGGAAGAAGAGGGTTCAGGAGCTGTTGGCAGTCTTGTGGTCAGCAGTGCGCAGTGTGCACATGCGGATACCAGTGATTGGGTCGTGTGCCGCCACGTCGTGGCCCACAAGCCGAATCCCCCCCCGTACCCCCGAATTTGGTGAAGTTAATTCGACCGGCCTCTACAGAACACTGCCGCCGCGTGGGAGCCGCAGCGGCTCGTCGACGGGCGCAATGTTAGCCCTCATGAGGGGCTGCGGATTGTTCCGTGGGGGAAGAAGACGTGTTGCTGCAGGAAGTTTGGCGGTTCTGCTCCACCACGCTACCAGACATGCATGCGTCGTGAAAGAAAATCTGGGCGGGAGGTGTTTCTCCGTGTTCAGCCTCTGGGGGGGTTCATTGGGCCTCGGGGCCGTGAATTATCCTGGCGAAGGACCCAACCATATGCAATTGTGAATACTGCAATTGTGAATATCTTCTCGGTGGAGCCCCCTACGGCGCCACGAAACGTACGAGGGGTGTGCCGAAATGGGTGTGCGGGACGCATGCGGGCACACCCACTGGGGCCTTCGGTGGAGCTCCCAATGGGGCCACGAAGCGTGTGAGGGGTGTGCCGAAATGGGTGTGCGGGACGCATGCGGGCACACCCACTGGGACCTTCGGCGGAGCTCCCTATGGGGCCACGGAACGCGTGAGGGGCGTGCCGAAATGGGTGTGGCTGACGCATGCGGGCGCGGGCACTGGGGCCTTCGGTGGAGCTCCCTATGGGGCCACGAAACGTGTGAGGGGTGTGCCGAAATGGGTGTGGGTGACGCATGCGGGCGCGGGCACTGGGGCCTTCGGTGGAGCTCCCTATGGAGCCACGAAACGTGTGAGGGGTGTGCCGAAATGGGTGTGGGTGACGCATGCGGGCGCGGGCACTGGGGCCTTCGGTGGAGCTCCCTATGGAGCCACGAAACGTGTGAGGGGTGTGCCGAAATGGGTGTGGGTGACGCATGCGGGCGCGGGCACTGGGGCCTTCGGTGGAGCTCCCTATGGGGCCACGAAACGTGTGAGGGGTGTGCCGAAATGGGTGTGGGTGACGCATGTGGGCGCGGGCACTGGGGCCTTCGGTGGAGCTCCCTATGGAGCCACGAAACGTGTGAGGGGTGTGCCGAAATGGGTGTGGGTGACGCATGCGGGCGCGGGCACTGGGGCCTTCGGTGGAGCTCCCTATGGAGCCACGAAACGTGTGAGGGGTGTGCCGAAATGGGTGTGGGACGCATGCGGGCACTTCGGGGAATGGGGCCACGAAAACTGACGCATGCGGCGCGGGCACTGGGGCCTTCGGTGGAGCTCCCTATGGAGCCACGAAACGTGTGAGGGGTGTGCCGAAATGGGTGTGGGTGACGCATGCGGGCGCGGGCACTGGGGCCTTCGGTGGAGCTCCCTATGGAGCCACGAAACGTGTGAGGGGTGTGCCGAAATGGGTGTGGGTGACGCATGCGGGCGCGGGCACTGGGGCCTTCGGTGGAGCTCCCTATGGAGCCACGAAACGTGTGAGGGGTGTGCCGAAATGGGTGTGGGTGACGCATGCGGGCGCGGGCACTGGGGCCTTCGGTGGAGCTCCCTATGGAGCCACGAAACGGTGTACTGGGTGGGTGAAGAGGAGAGGAGGAGAGGAGGGGAGGAGAGGAGGAGAGGAGAGGAGAGGAGAGGAGGGGGGCAGCGGGAGGAGGAGTGAACGCGGGGCGCTGTCTCTTCAAAACGAGGACCCAACACCACAGGATGGTTGGGAAAAAAAACTACTCCAGATGCAATCCCTGTCCTGGGGAAAGGGTCGGGACTTCCAGGGACCGAGTATTCAAAAAAACAGGACGCCGCGTGTGTGGGTTGTGGAGCGGCGCGCTATCCACCTCGCGGCCCCCAGGCTTCAGCGTGCCGAGCGTTTCCCAGCCTCCCGCCCCGCGGAGCGGAGCGACACGCTATCCGTTTGCAAGGCATAGCGTGTCGCCGGGGCCGCCGCCGCGAGACGCTATGCAAGAATTCTAGACCGCACGTCATCAACATACCGGCAGGGTCCCCATGCAATGGCACTCGCAGGAAGGAACGAGCCCGCCGTGTTGGAGCAGGCCACAGCCCACAGCACGAGCGAGCGAGCGAGCCCACGCAACGCCAGGGGCGGGCGGGGGGGGGAGGGGGGGGGGGGGGGGAGGGGGCGAAGCTTGGGGAGGGGGGGATGGGGAGGGCGAAGGAGGGAGAGGGAGGGGAGAGGGAGAGGGAGAGGCGACCTACGCCACCGCTTGTCCAATCAGTGGTCGCCCTGCGCGTCGCCGCCCTTCGTGCTTCGCCCCTCCGCCCTCGTGCGGCTCGTCGCCGGTCGGCGGCCCAGGTCACCCGCGGGGGCGCGGAGAGGGTCGCGGCGCACAGCCGACCCGCACAGCAAGGATGGGGCAGCCTTCCCAAGGGTATTCTTGCGCCCTTGCCCCTTCGGCCGTGGCCGTGGCCGTGGCCCATCCTCAGCGATTCTCGCTGGCCGAGCTCGCCCGAGAGACGCCAACACGGGCCTCCAAGGCAGCGGGAAAGAGAATCCGCAAGTCAAGCCCGGAGCGACCCCCCGAGACGCTCGATGTCACGATCGGGAAAGTGGCCGAGCGTGCCCGTCAAATCAGACGTTCCTTGCTCCACCGCATTCGGGAAGTCGACGCCGGCGATGCGAGCTTTACGCCGCGCATCCCTACGCTGCGGGCTGGCTGCATGCGCGCGCCGCGGCCCAGGCCCGGAGCGGCCGCCCTGCTCCCGGGGCTCGGCGCGGGGGGCCGCGGAGAGGAGCGCGCGCTGCGCGCAGCGCCGAGCCCGCGGAGCGCGGGCCGATGGACCTGCAGGTCCATCGGCGGCGATATATATAATAGCCTGTGGGCTTTATAAATATTTACATAATAGATATCTATATATATATTAGTATGATTATTATTATTATTATTAATAATATTATTATTATTAGTATTATTATTATTGTTATTATTAGTATTGTTATTATTATCATCATTATTAGTATGAATAGTAGTATTATTAGTATACGAATGATGATAATAATAATGATAATAATAATGATATTGATAGTAATAATCAGAATGATGATGATGACTAAACTAGTAATAACAAGAAGAAGAAGAAGAATATTGATAATAGTAGTATTAATATCAATACTCATAACACTGGGAATTAATTTAACACGAGTAATACGAATAATCATAGTAGTAGTAGTAATAATAATACTCACAAGAATAATAATAATAATAATAACAATAAGACGAATACGAATACGAATGCGAATAAGAAGAAGAAGAAGAAGAAGAACTGTCGTCCAAAATCCCCCTGTAGGAGGACAGGCCCGACTGAATCCTGGTCGCCGTCCCCCTCCTCTCGGGTGCCACTCCTGTCGGCGACGAGCCCCAGGGGGGGAAAGAGTGAGAGGGAGGAGGCCTTCTCAGAAGGCGGCGGGGCCTCTCGGACGTCTGGATCTGGCTATACATCGCCCTTCGCCGTGCCAGCGGAGACCTGCCAGGAGTGGCCTCCCCTCCTTCTCCTCGTTCGTCTCCTCCTCTTCCCTCTCCTCCTACCCCTGAGCCTCCCCCCCCATCTCCACCGCGGGGCAGAAGGAGGACGACGGCGCCGACGACGACGACGACGACGACGACGACGGCGACGGCGACGGCGACGGCGACGGCGACGGCGAGGAGGGCGGAGAAGAGGGCAGAGTGCGAGAGCGGCTTTCGACGAGGGAACGCGCGCACGCATCCCCACCCCCTCGTCGGGAGCGCGGGGAGCGGGATGCTCCGAGTGCGCGCTCGCGCGGCCCGCATCGCAGTCCCCCCCCCCAAAAAAAACAAGGCCTCGCCTGCGCCTGTGCCCGAGGGAGCTTCTCCTCCTCCTCCTCCTCCTCCTCCTCCTCCTCCTCCTCCTCCTCCTCCTCCTCCTCCTGCTCCTCCTCCTCCTCCTCCTCCTCCTCCTCGCTGCGCGATCCGGGGGGCGCGGCGGTGCGCCCCGCGTGCCGGCGAGGGACCTCGTCCCCGTGCTGCGCGGCACCGCTCGGGGGGCGCCGGAGGGCGGAGTTCGTCGCGGAAGGCGCACGTTGAAGTCCGACACGATCGCTCCCGACATGCTCAGGAGGGGTAAAAACACACCGACACAATGAATCGTCGATTTCCCAGAAAATATAAAGAAAATTGGGAAGTGGGGGGGAAGACAAAAACCCAGAAAATATGAGAAAATATGGGGGATTAGTTTATTTGTGTGTATTTATTTGTGTCCCAGGGCCCCTTCACATGCTTGGGCCTTGGCGTCGCTCGGACGCGTGCATTTTATTGGTGATGACGATCGCGGAGCACCCTGGATCGTCGAGCCAACAAAAAAGAAACGCACGAGACCGGCAGGTGCCCGGGGAACGGACGTCCGAGCGATGGCGAGGGGATCCTCCGGAAATGCGATTAGGATTCCGGAGGAGCAGGGTTCGGGTGGCAATCCTCAGTCTTGCGGAGGAGTCCCCAGGATTTCTTCGGCATCCGTCCGCATTCTCCAGGGAGCCTTGAGAATGTTTGGAAAGATCCTTCGGATTTCCCAGCAGATCTTCGGGAACCGTCGGAAGTCCGTTCCATTCAGTAGAAGGTCCTCGGGACTGCGGAGGGAGCCCTCAGGATTTTTTTTTGGGGGGGGGGCATCGTCGGGAAATTCCTGGCGTGGCGAACACATCAATGTGTAGCCTGGAGGGGTGTGCAGGAAGGGCCTGACATCGCCTCGACATCCCGAGGGTGGCCGCGGGATTTGCCAGGACAGCTTCGGAGTTCCCCGAGGTCCCTCGGGGAGGCCCCTGGAGCAGGAACCGCAGTGGAGGGCCGCGCCCGCGGGGCGGCGGGGGAGGGGGAGGCGGCACGGGCAAGGCAGCGTCGGCGCCAGAGGGGCAGGAGCAGGAGGAGGAGGAGGAGGAGGAGGAGGAGGAGGAGGAGGAGGGGTAGGAGGAAGTGGAGGACATCGTCCGCAGCCCTGAGTTCTGGGGAGGAGGAATAATAGGAAGAGGAGGAGGAGGAGGAGGAGGAGGATGGATGGCATGAGGAGGAGGAGAGGAGCAGGAGCAGGAGCAGGAGCAGGAGGAGGAGGAGGAGGGAGAAGAAGAGGAGGAGGAGGAGCAGGAGAACCCCTCATCCCATCCTCGCTCGTCGTCCTCATCCCTCTCCTCCTCCTCCTCCTCCTCCCTCCTCCTCATCCTCTCCTCATCCTCATCCCTCATCCTCATCTCCTCATCCTCATCCTCATCCTCATCCTCATCCTGCTCCTCCTCCTCCTCCTCCTCCTCCTCCTCCTTGTCCTCCTCGCGGCGTGCGACGGCGACGGCGGCGGCGACGACAGCGCCGCCGGCGACGACAACGCCGGCGACGGAGACCACGACAGCGGCGGCGACGGCGGCGGCGGCGACGGCGAGAACGACGGGGCCGCCCACCGCGGCCGCAGCCGGGTGAGGCGAAGCTGGCGCAGCTGGCCGACATGGGTTTCAGCGAGCGGCAGGCGGCCACTCCTCCTCTTCCTCATCCTCCTCCTCCTCCTCCTCCTCCTCCTCCTCCTCCTCCTCCTCCTCCTCCTCCTGCGCCTCTCCTCCTCCTCCTGCCTCCTCCTCCCTCCTCCTCCTCTCCTCCTCCTCCTCCTCCTCCTCCTCCTCCTCCTCCTCCTCCTCCTGGTGGCACCCGCGGGGGGCGCGGCGGATGGCGGCGCCTCAGGGCGCACACTCGACTAGACGTAGAAGTGACGTTTCGCCGGAGTGACCTTTGGTGCGGGCCGATCGGGGCCCCCCGATGGCCGAATGAGGTGCGACAGCAGCAGCCTTGCGCTCGCGCTCGCGGACCCCCGGAAGACGCGGTCCCAAACGTCACTCGTGCCCAGGGTCACTCCCAGAGATCCGATGTCGTGATTTTTGTCAATACGGGGTCCCCGGAAATCTCGACCCATTCCCCAGGATTGGTGTTTCATCCTGAGTCGTTTTTGACGCTCCCGAGGCCCGGCGAGGGCTCCTAGGGGCCGAAATGTGAGAAAAAACTCCGTCTTGGTTTGTTCAAAACGTTGGATCCTTGGTCTTGCATGTACACAGCCCATAGGAGGAGCGAGAAGCAGTGATGAGGTCGGAAACGGTTTGGATCGCGCGTCGCTCCGCCGGTTCGGGCCCACCGCGCCGCGGCGCCTCAAGACCGCGTACGCCTCCGGGACGCGCCGCGGTCCCGGAGGCGTCCGCGTGCCTGGCTTCCTTTGCCTCCCGCCCCGCGGAGCGCAGGGACACGCTGTCCGCTTGCAAGGCACAGCGGGTCGCCGGGGCCGCCAGAGCCATATTGCTGTCCACTTCGCGGTCCCGGAGGCGTCCGCGTGCCGTGCGTCCTCTGCCTCCCGCCCCGCGCAGCGGAGGGACACGCTGTCCGCTCGCAAGGCACAGAGGGTCGCCGGGGCCGCCGTGGCCGCACGCTATCCAACGGCTTCCGACCGCAGTGCAGCGCTCCGAGAGTTCCAGGCTCTGCATCGCACGAGCCTCAAGCGACCTGTGCGGCCCAGGTGTCCGCAATTGCTTCACGTAGGCGGGCTCGGGGCGCATGCGGAGCAGGTCACACAAAAAATAGTAATTTGACGGTCTAACGAGACCGATGTTGAAAACACGGTTCTCGCACCCCAGGTCTTTTTGTTGCCCCACGCGGCCAGAGGGTTGGCCGAGTGCGAATTGTTGAGGGCTTTTTGGGAAACTCTGGAAATCCCAGCACACTCATTGAGCCACAGGCATCATGGCATTATTGGAGAGGCCTTACGACCGGTGTCGCCGACCCTGAACGAGGACGACGACGACGACGACTACCACTACGACGACGACGACGACGACGACGACGACGACGACGACGACGACGACGACTACCACTACGACGACGACGACGACGACGACGACGACGACGACGACGACGACGACGACGACGACGACGACGACGACGACGACGGCGGCGGCGACGACGACGGCGACGACGACGGCGGCGGCGACGACGACGGCAGCGGCGGCGACGGCGACGACGACGACACCATGGCATGATTCTCGTCTTGCCCGGCGGGGCGGGGCGCAGAGGGGGGTCGTGCGGGGACGGGGAGGACATCGGTCAGGGAGGACTTCGGGGTTTGTCGTCGGCTCTTGTAGGCTTTCTTCGGCGGCGAGCGCGGGGGGGAAGTGAGAAGGAGGAGGCCTTCTTAAGGCGGCGGGACCTCTCAGAAGTCCTGGCGCCTTCTGAGAAGTTTTCTGTGTCGCCCGGGAAGGCTTAGAAGACTTCTCAGAAGGCCGGGGGATGTCCGTGCCGTCTGAGAAGGTCCGCCCCTTCTCATTTCCCCCCCTGGGCTCGCCGCCGATTTCCACCCTCGGGATGCTCTCCTGCAGCTGCGCCTCGCCGAGGGCGTTCCGTGGGTGCCCGATCTTCCCGAACGGCCGCCAAAGAATTGAGTCATGATCCTGAAACCAAACCTCTTTGCCTCGCGGACCGAATCACGACGGAGGTTTTTCTCCTAACAGTGTTTGCACTGCGGGATTCTTACTTGTCTTTACCATCTGGGGACCAGTGCCGGCTTTTCGTCGCCGTGCCGCTTGTCGCCGTCCGTCGCCGCCTGTCGCCGTCCGTCGCCGCCTTGCTTTCCTTTGCTTTTCGTCGACGTACGTACCTTATTTAATCATGGTAATTTCGATTTGATTTGGTTCACTTCAGTTTGCCTTACCTCACCTTACTTCACCTTACCTTACTTAACTGCAGGTTCCTTTTAGTTATGTAAGTATCAGTTACTGTACAGTCATTGTTTAAATTACCTCATCATACCTCACCTGACTTTGAGTCACGTTGCTGTACTACGAGTTTCTTCACGCTCCTTAGTGCTCCCTTCCATTAATTACGTTAACTTAATTTTTCTACGCTGGTGAACATTATTTGTTTTGCTTTACGTTACTTTACCTTTCCGTATCTCACCTTATCTTACTCAGTTTTCGTTTACCTTACCCTACTTTACCATACATGACTTTACCTTATTCTATTTACCTTACCGTCGCACAGGTTCTCTTTTCTAAAAAGAAAATAGGTTCTACCACCCTCCCCCCCTGGACTTGAACACCCCCCGGGGCCCGATGCAAAACACATAGGATTCTGACCCAATGTCCACTCTACCTGTGAATTCATTCTATCCCAGCCAGGCTGGCATCGCCCCCCCCCACCATCTTTTGCAAAAATACTATGCGCGCACACTCGTTTATAAAATATCATAAGTGTTCAAGAATTCTTGGTTTCAGAAGACTGAGACGAATGTACACGCGCGCGTCGTCGCGCGCGCCTGCCGAAATCCTGCAATAACTGTCGGTGTCGTTTCAAAATCGAGTGTCCCAAAAACAGTTTAAGTAACACAGGGTTTCACAACACGGATCTTCACATATATATAATATAAACAAATAGGCCCCCCCCCCCGGCGGGGCCGCCCACTCCGCAACCATCGGGGAACGCTTTTTAATACCCCCTCCCCGGGGCCTCCAAGGAGCCTCCAAGGAGCCTCCAGACGACCCAAGAGGCCTCCAAGACGGCCCCAGGAGGCCCCCAGGATGGTCCAAGAGGGCCCCGAGGCGGTCCCAGATCGCTCCAAGACGCCCAAGATGGTCCCAAGACGGCCCAAGGGGCCTCCAAGACGCCCCAAGAGGCCTCCAAGAGGCTCTCCAAGAGGGCCCCAAGAGGCTCGAATCGTTGATTTTCCATTGTGTTTTTCGATGTTTTTGGCTTTCTCTCCTTTTGGGCTCCCTGGCGCTCCAAGACGGCCAAGAGGCACCCAAGATCGCCCCAAGACGGCCCAAGAGGCCACCAAGACGGCCCCAAGACGGCCCAAGAGCGCCCCGGGACCGCTTAAGAGGCCTCGAAGACGGCCCAAGAGAGTCCCAACACGGCTCCAAGAAGGGGCCCAGACGCGGGATCCGAGCGCACTTTACGGGCCCTCGGCCCCAAGAGCATCCCCAGAAACCACTAGAGGCTCCCAAAGGCCCCCAAGAGCCCCCCGGGAGGCCCCCAAGAGCCCCCGAGCAGGCACCGAAACGAGCCCCATGCGATTTCGGACACTTTCATATGCACCCCTTCTTCCTTCCGATCCGTTCCGTTGAGCTGCCTGCATTGAGTAGCATGTGCATTGCATTTCAATTCAACAATAATGCTGTGAATCGCGCTGCATTTGCAACGTTTGGCGTTTGTTTTACTACTCGCATTGGTCTGCATGGCGTTGCATTCGATACGTCTGTGATGATTGCGATGATTACGATGGTGAGGATCCTGGCTAGAACTTGAGCGCGCGCGAAGCGCGCGCGATGGTTCTAGTCTATATATATATGTGTATATATGTATGTATGTGTATCACGTACGCGCGTTCTTGCGAATTCTTAATAAAGCTATAGGTGTTTAAAAGAATTTCAGAAAATACTTCCAAACGGGCTTCGAGCTCGCGCATGTCAAAATCGTTCGAACGCCCTTGCGCGCGTGCCGTCGCGAGAATCCTGTGCAAAAAAACCGGACGAAGCGCACGCGCGCGCGTCGTCGCGCGCGCATGCCGAATTCATTCAAAAAACCTTCGGTGTTCGAAGGATTTCAAAATTGAATGTCCACAAAACATACAATACACAAAAAGTCTCGAAACACAGAGTTTCAACAAAAGCGTGCGCGCGCTCTTTCGAAATCTTAAGAAAACCATAAGTGGTTCAACATGTTCATAAAATGCTGCCAAGCCGGCTTCGCGCGCGCATGTCGGAATCATTCGAACGCCACTACGCGCGTGTTGGGGCGGCACGGTCCGTGTCAAATAATACCAGGCGAGCCACTTTCGCGCCTCCGCTGCGCGCGCGCATTTCGTTTCGAATTCTTTTCAAAACCTTCATCACCGACGCGAAGACGCCGTCATCATCGTCGGCGTGGTCGGCATCAGCGCCGTCACTGGCCGTGCCGTCGTCGCTGTCAGCATCATTACCAACATCGCGAGTATCATCATTATCGTGTCTACAACTGTCGACGTCCATGATACCGCACCCGCCCAAGTCGCCAATTCGCATTCAAGTGCCTGCGTGGATGTGCCGAGCGGTCAGCACCACCGCGGCCGCGTCGGTCGCGCCAAACTACCTGGCCGCTGCGCGCGCGCGCATGCGCGGGCTGGCGCGGCCGCAGAGATGCACCAGCCAGCGCCAAGCACTCATCGCAATCGCCGCCGCATGAGGTTTGCAAACCAAGTTGCGGGTGGGTGGGTGGGATGTCTGCGCGAGCAGTGGAGTGGACAACGCACTGCGAGCAGAAACGAAGTGCAACACATAGATTGCACCGCATGGATTGCGTAACATAGGTTGTACCGCGTAGATTGTACCACGTAGATTGCACCGCATATGTTGGACCGCATTGAATCTCCTTTCTAAAAACAGAATAGGATCTACCCCCCCCTGGCGTTCGCCGCCCCCCTTTCGGGTATGTACACAGTATATGATTATGACCACATGTCCATCATAAAACAAGAAAAAAACGCGGGACAGCGTTTGATCTAACATAAGACTTCTCCACGAATCCCTTGCAACAAATATGACGAAGTGCAGGCGCGCGCGTCGTCGCGCGCGCATGCCGGAATCCTTCAAAAACTTTTGGTGCTGGAAGGATTTCGCGATTGAGTTGCCAACAAGCATACAAAAGCACAAGGTTTCGCAACACTGCTTTGCTAAAAAAGCTTACGCGCGAGCTCTTGCGAAATCTTAAGACACCATCGGTTTTTCAAGATTTCCACAAAATGCTACCAAACGGGCTTCGCGCGCGCATGTCGAAGTCTGTCGAACGCCCTTGCGCGTGTGCCGTCGCGAGAATCCTCTGCAAAAAATGAGACAAAGTGCAGACGCGCGCGTCGTCGCGCGCGTATGCCGAAATCCTTCAAAACCCATCGGTTTCGGAAGTATTTCAAAATCGTGTGTCCAAAAACCTACAAACACACAAGGTTTCGCAACACGGATTTTCAACAAAAGCGTGCGCGCGCGCTGTTGCGTCGTCGTCGTCGTCGTCATCGTCGTTGTCGGCGTCGAAGTCGTTGGAGACGTCGTCGGTGTCGTCGCCCAGCTGGGATGTGCCCAGCAGTGAGCGCCACCGCGGCCGCGTCGGTCGCGCCAAACTAGCTGGCCGCTGCGCGCGCGCTTGGTTTGGCGCGGCCGCAGAGATGGGCCAGCTAACTCCAAGCACTCATCACAATCGTCACCACATGGGTTTTGCAAGCCAAGTTGCGGGTGGGTGGGTGGGATGTTTGCAAGAGCGTGGGATGTGTCAACTCGTTTGTTAAAATCAAATGCACTGCATAGGTTGCATCGCGTAGATCGCATTACGTTGATTGCACAGCGAAGACTGCATTGCATGGGTTGCACCGCGTAGATTGCATCACATAGATTGCACCACACAGGTTGCACCGCATATATTGCATTACATAGGTTGCACCGATTGCACCGCACAGGTTGCACCGCATAGATTGCATCACACAGGTCGCATCGCATACATTACACCACTTAAATTGCACCGCGTAGACTGCAAAAACTTATTGTTTGAAGTCCACGCTCGCTAACATTTGGTTGTCTTCGGCCCGTAAGGGCCCTTATTTGGATTCGGGACCGCCAAACGACAACAATTCAGGATGAAAAGCTTGCCCCCATGGGAGGCCACGTTGTTACGGCAGGTTCAGGAGGCGATGGCGCGCCGGCGACTCTGGCGAAGGCGTTCAAGGCTGACCTTCGCATCATAGAACGACACGGAGGCACCGAGGGAGTGCCACACGACCCGACGGGACTCAGCCCATCAACGCAGAGTCAAAACAATGCGCGCGCCGACGCCGCACGAACCTACCATAAACATCACGACGTCGGATGTCTGGGGAGGAAGAGAAGCAGACAGTCGAGACGCACTGACCGTGCAAGCACCCTGGTGTTCATTTGTTGTCACGCGGCCCTTACATGTGCCTCCTTTTGTGCCCCAGTATATGCATCGGGCCAGGGCTCGGGTGTCAGGATTGGGGCGTTCGGGTCAGACTTGATGGTTCGGGCCAGGGCGTGAGGCTTCAAGGGTATTGTCGAGTGAGCTTTAGGGTCGCAAGTGGGTCTGAGGTGTACGGCTGGAATACCCAGAGATGTTTGCGGCAAGTCCGCCACGGCGCCAGCGAAACACTCCCCTGTGTGGCGACCCCTCGAGCACCGCCAAGGAGCCGTCACGTGTGACGCTTCTCGTCACCTCTCCACGGCTTGAGGAGCGCACGGGAGCACCGCTCGGGCCACCCCTTCGGGCTGCCTCGGACGTCCCTTGGTGCCCTTCTGGGCCGACGTAGGGCCCCACTGGGCCGTCTTGGGGCCTTCACGGGCCGTCTTGCGGTGTTTCTTGGCCGTCTGTGGGGGAGTCTCTTGGGGCCGTAGCGGGGCCGTCTTGGGAAGGCGCTTGGGTGCTACGAGAGGGCGGGAGGCCCTTAGAAGACTGACAGAAAACCATACCCGACAGCGCGTTGCATTCTACCACGCCTGAACGTGCCAAGGGGGACGGCGGCGGATTCAGGTTAGGGCTTGGGGATGACGGGGTGCATGAGAAGTTCAGCTCCGGGCCCGAAAGGGGGGGGGGGATTGCCCCCCCTATTGGACAAGAGAGGGAGGGGGGGTCCTGGACGACGAGTCCTTCTCTACTGACTCGCACTCCCCTCCCCTCATGTTTACATGCGCGAAGGAGTCCCCTTGTGACAATGTACACATTGTGTGTATACGTATATATCTATATACACAGACATACATATCAGATATAGACGATAGCCGTATGTATACAGTGATTGAGTATTACCTGCTTTGAGACGGAACAAACTACACACATGTAGATGTAAATGCACTCGAACGTTCCCGCTCCCGACTCCACCCACTAGCGCCTGTTCCACTCAACAACCCAAATTCCTCCAGCCCGCTACCGACCCACAGTCTCCAAGACCCGACACTAATCAATATTGAGCGGATCGATATGACTGGTCCTCCCTGAGTAGGGAGCACCGCCGAGCCTTGATGGATGTTCATTGTTTCAGCTTCACACACAATCGCACCTCCAAAACATTCATACGCTGAGCGCCCGTGCATCTATGAATATAATTGCCTGCACCTATGCACAACAGCCTCCTGCATGGCAGCCTCCATGCGCTGAAAGCTCGTGCACGACAGCCTCCTGCAGAACCGCCCGCATCTATGGATGTGATCGTGTGCGCTGGGCCAGTTGTGGGTGCTCCTCGTGTGCTCCTCGTCCTTCCTGGCCCCCCCCTTGCCTTGCGGGTCCGATTCGTCCGGCTGTCTAGCGGCCTCTCCTTGCGCTTTCGCTCGCCGCGTGCGCTCGGCTGGCCCGCCGGCAGCGTATGCACCAGTCCTTCGCAGCTGCCGGGTGCGGCCAGTGTCGCCGGGCTGCCCAGCCACGTCTCCTTCCGGTTCCTGCTCCTCTCCCTCGATCCCTCCTCCTCCTCCTCCTCCTCCTCCTCCTCCTCCTCCCTCCTCCTCCTCCTCCCCATCCTCCTCGATCCCTCCTCTCCTCCTGCTCATCCTCATCCTCCTCCTTCCTCCTCCTGTTCTGGCCCCCCACTTGCGCCGCGCCCACTGTCTGCGTCTCGGCGGCATCCTGGCTCGCCTGCCTCGCCCACCTGGCTCGGCCTGCCGGTCGGTGGCGCCCGTTTCCTCCTGCTCCCCCAGCCCCTCGTCCGCTCTCTTCCTCTCCCGTCTGTTTCGCCCTGCCCTGCACCGCCTGTTTCTCCGACCCCGGGTCGCCCCTGCGCGCATTTGGGAGCATCGCCTGGGTACGGTACTGCGGCAGGAAGTTACGTATGGTTACGTACCCCCCGATAGTCCTGTCTGGCGCGTCGGAAGCAAAGTGTGTGTGTGTGCGTGCGTGCGTGCGTGTGTGCGTGTGTGTGTGTTGTGTTGTGTTGTGTCGTGTTGTGCTGTGCTGTGTCGGGTCGTGTCGTTTCGTGTGTGTGTGTGTGTGCTGTGTTATGTTATGTTATGGTTTGTGTTGTGTTGTGATGGGTTGTGTTGTGTTGCGTTGTGTTGTGATGTATTGTGGTGTGTAGTGTTGTGTTGTATTGTGTGTTGTGTGTGTTGTGGGTTGTGTGTGCGTGTGTGTGTGTCAATGTGTATTTGTGTATATGTGTGTGCGTGCGTGCGTGCGTGTGTGTGTGCGTCTGTGTGTGTCGTGTGTATGTCGTGTGTGTCTGTCTGTCTGTCTGTCTGTCTGTCTGTCTGTCTGTCTGTCTGTCTGTCTGTCTGTCTGTCTTTGTGTCTATGTGTTTGTGTGTTTGTGTGGCTATCTATCTGTCTGTCTGTCTGTCTGTCTGTCTGTGAGTGCGTGCTCGCGCGGGCGGGCGGGCGTGCGGCTGCGGCTGCGGATGTGGGTGTGGGTGTGGGTGTGGGTGTTGGTATGGGTGTGGGGGTGGGTTTGGGTGTGGCTGTGTGTCTTTGTGGCTGTGCGACTGTGTGGCTGCGTGGTTATGTGGCTGTGTGGCTGTGTGGCTCTGTGGCTGTGTGGCTGTGTGGCTGTATGGATGTGTGGCTGCGTGGCTGTGTGGCTGTGTGGTTGTGTAGCTGTGTGACTGTGTGGCTGTGTGTCTGTGTAGCTGTTTGACCGTGTGACTGTGTGGCCGTGTGGCTGTGTGGTTGTGTGGTTGTGTGGCTGTGTGATTGCGTGGGCGTGTGACTGTGTGGGTGTGTGGGTGCGTGTGTCTTCTACGCCCTATCGCTGCGCGCCAGGCCGCGAAGCCAACAGTGCGCGTGCGTGTTAATACTGGTATGTGTTTTCGCATGTTGGGGAGGCAGGGTCAGGATGTAGGAAGTGAGAGAAGGCTTGCATCTCGGCGCTGCAGCAGACTGGTGGAGACGTCGGCCAAGCAATCGGGCTGCTGTAACGCGAGGCTTCCGCGCTGGATTGCGCAAGCAGGGACGACAGGAAGGAGAGAGGTATATCAGTTTTAAGATATACGAAAGGGTAGAGTCGGAGACAAAGAGGGCGAGATAGAGAGAGAGAGAGAGAGAAATATACAAACCATTTTTATATACATATATATGTACATATATATACACCTACACAAATGTGAAAATATGCCGTGTAGCCAGCATGGACCCCAACAGTGATGCCTTGCAATCTATGAACGACGTGGTGCAATCTAGGTGGTGGAGTCAATGTCGTACAATCTACGTGGCGCAAAAAAGTGCAGAGCAAAGAGATGCTAAACCATGCGACGGAAAACAACGCAAAGCAAAACAATGCGATGCAATGCAAAGCAACGCAACGCAATGCCAAGCCATGCCAAGCAGTGTGATGCAGCGTGACGCGAGGCAGCGCAGCGCAAAGCAGCGCAGTGCAAAGCACTGCAGAGAAGTGCAAGGCTTGCGGTGCGTCCGGCGGGGGGGAGGTGCGGCGGGGCGGCGGCGACGGCTGGGAACGTGCCCGCCTTCGCCATTGGGGATATGGGGCGGCGAGGGACGGGCACGGGGCCGCCGGGCCCCGCGGACGGGCCCACTTCCTCAGAACGGGAAGTTCGAGCCCTTTTGAGTGCAAGTGTTTTTGGGGAGAATAAATGCATACGTATGTATATATATATATAGACCTACATATATATATATACAAAATGTATGTCTAGAGATATATCTATCTATGTGTATATATATATATACATATATATATATATATATACATAGCATTGGAATTATCGGAGACATCTACGGCGAATCACCGCCGCCCCCTGACTTTGAGGATGCGCCCACGTGGCAAAGCGTTTGGGCAAAGTTTGGCCGCGCTATCCCCCAGCCGTTGTGGAAGCCCTTCGGGGGACACGTGGGGGAGGAAGCGGAGGGGCCTCTCGGGAGCCTTGGGGGGCTTCTTGGTGGCCTCCTTGGCTGTCCTAGGGCGTTCCCGGCCCGTCTAACGCCGTCGTAGGGGCCCGTCTGGGCCGTCTTGGGCACGCTTCAGGGTCGTCTTGAAGGCCATCCTGGGCGTCTTGTTCCAAGCAGCTGAGAGTCTGGACATTTGGAACGCACGCGAACGAGAGCATGTGATGCGCACGAATCTCCGAGCCACGCTGGTGCCCTCCGGTCCCGTCCAGGGCCCGCGCACCTGCGACGGTGCGCCTGCCGCCCGCAAGGGCCGCCCGCCTCGCACCGGCCATGGCAGGCAAGGCTTCGTTTCGATTGGGCCGTCTTGTGGCGCCCTTGGGGGCCTCTTGGGCCGTCGGACGGCCGAAACGAAGCAACTGCCAGAATCGTTCAGAAACCTGGGTAAAACTGTTGATCGTAGCCTCTTCGGGCCCTCATCAAGGACATCTTGGACGCTTCTCGGGCCGTCCTCTAGGCCTCTTGGGGGCCTCTTGGGCCGCCTTGGGCCATCTTGAAGACATCTTGGTATGGCTTGGGTGCACCTCGGGTCGTCTAAGGGCCATGTTGGGCTCTCTTGGGGACATCGTGGCCGTCCTGGAGTCCATGTTGGGCCATCTTGGAGCGGGAAAGGCATTGACCCGGCGATTGTGAGGAGCTGTCCGAGTGGCCGCTGGGTTCGGCCGAAGCCCCAGGGGGAGTTCTTTAGAAATGAACCAAAAAACACCAGACGTTTCGAGCACGCCAGGCACCCCTTGTAGCACGCCACAGGGGGCGGCGAATCGAGTGGCCTTCGGCCCATCCCGCCACCGCGCCTGGGTTGGAGGTCAAGAGCATTTGGGATGCATGTGGGGATCTCTCGGGAGGCCTCACGGTGATTAGCCTCTTGGATTCGGTTTTCGGGCGTCTTGCGGGCCTCTCGGGGGCCTCTTGGGGGCCTCGTGGTGTTTGTGGGGGGCCTCTTTGAGGCCTGCTGGCGGTCTCGGGGGCCATCCTAGGGCGAAGGGCTCGACATGTCGGTTCGTGTTCCCCCTCTGGGGCCTCTCTGGGGCCCCTCTTGGGGCCCTACCAGGCCGTCTTAGTGGCCTCTTGGACCGTCCTAGAGCCATCTTGGGCCGTCTGAGCACGCGTTACGGGGCCTGTTGGGCCTTCTTGGGGCGAGTTCGGGAGCCTCTTGGGCCGTCTTGGAACGTCGACAGCCCGAAAATGTGAGAACACTAAGTCGTTCGAAAGCCAACGGAAAATCGTTGATTGTGGTATCTCGGGGATCCAAGGGATTCTAGGAACCCTCTTTGGGGGTCTTTTTTAGCCATCGGTGGAGCGATCTTTGAGCGACACGGGGCCATCTTAAATCGTCTTGGGGAGCCCTTGGAGCCCTCCTGGCTTGTCTTGGCGCCCACAGGCTTCTGGAAGAGTCACGCGCCCGACCCGCAGAGCGCTCAGGAACACCCAAGAGATGGGAAGTTGGGTGTCGGGCCCATGAAACGATATTCACCGCATTCACAACAGAGAACCCGTAGGGACCTGAGGACACCCAAATTCGTGCCTCAGGGCACGGAGACGTCTATGTATGTATATATATATATATATATATATATATATATATATGTGTGTGTAGATGTGTACGCATGTACATAGTTCGGTTTTTTTGTGTGTGCGTGTGTTCTCCAAAAAGTGCTTGCACGTAGGATCTTGCTTCTTTTACACGGAGCTTGGCCTGGTTGTCGGTCGAGCTTGTCGGCCGTCGGCCGTGCGCGCGTGTCAAAAAAAACATCCAAAAATTCCAGCATTGACACGTTGGCACCATCATGGTCATCGGTGCGATCAGCATCGGCGCCCTTGCCTTGCCATCGTCAGTGGCATGATCGACAGCAACATCGCTACCATCCGAATCGTGTCTGCTGTTGTCGACGCCGCCATGATACCGCGCCCGCCCGAGTCGCCGACTCGCAGTGCAGTGCCCGCGCGTCAGCGCGGCCTGCGAGACGCGCTGGGAAGTCCCCAGCGGTCAGCGCCACCGCGGCCGCGTCGGTCGCGCCACAGTAGCTGGCCGCTCTGTGCGCAAGCCTGCGCGCGTTAGCGCGGCCGCAGCGACGCGCCAGCCAGCGCCAAGCAGTCATCGCAGTCGCTGCCGCACTGCTTGTGCAAACGCGGGTTGATTACGCGGGCAGTGGAGTTGACAGTTCCAAGGTCAGCACGGCGAATTGACCTCATAGTTCACACCACAGAGATTCCCGTTCCTCTAAACAGGAAGCAGGATCTACCGCCACCACACAAGGTGATCCGCACACCTGGGGCATGTACATGTCACACCCGGGTCTGACCATCGCTCATTTTCCGCATGAAACCACACCATACCAGCTAAACTGGGTTCGCCCCCCCTTTTTCATCCTCGGGTTCGTTTATGCGAAAGTTACCGATGTGCAAGAATTGCGGGAGGGGCGAGAAAAATAACGATACCCACGCGCGCGCGCGTCGTCGCGCACGCATGCCGCAATCAATTCAAAACCCTAGGCGATGCAAGGATTCCAAACTCAAATGTCCCAAACTCGAGTGCCCCGAACACATCTACGATCACACAATCTAGTGTTTAGTAAGGCTCGCGCACGCAATCTTGTAATTTCTTAAGAAAACCGTGGGTGTTCAACGTGTTCACCACATACGACCAAAAGGGCCCTTCACGCGCGCATATCGACATCATTCGAAAGCCCTTGCGCGCGCGCTGGGGGGCACATGATCCTCGCGCGCGTTGGCCGCGCGCGCATGTCAAATTCCTCCCGCGACCTTAATCGCCGACTCGTGGACACCGTCATCGTCACCAGCGCGGTCCGCACCGGCGTCGTCATTGGCTTTTCCGTCGCAAAAACCATCGCCCTGACCAGGACCGTTGCTATTATCATGGCGCCTGCCGTCGCCGACGTGGCCATATTACCGCAGCCGTTCGGGTCGCCGACTCGCATTGAGGTACCCTCGTGTCAGCGCGGCCTGCGAGACGCGCTGGGAAGTCCCCAGCGGTCAGCGCCACCGCGGCCGCGTCGGCCGCGCCACACTAGCTGGCCGTTCTGTGCGCGAGCCTGCGCGCGCAAGCGCGGCCGCAGCGACGCGCCAGCCAGCGCCAAGCAGTCATCGCAGTCGCCGCCGCATTGCTTGTGCAAACCAATTTGTGGGTGGGCGGGCGGGCTGATAGCGCGGGCAGTGGAGTTGACAATGTCAAGTTCAGCAGGGTGAATTTCCTTGTTAACTGGACGGGGGAGCAACCCCTCTCCCCCCGCGATGGCGGGAGAATCGCCCCACGGGCTGTGAAGTCATGTGATCCTGCCCCACCGTCGAATTCGAATTATGGGTTCATACCGCCCCCGCCAGGCCGAGGTCGACCCCCCCCTCTCCCCGCCCTCCCCCCGCTTCCCGCACCATCCTCTGCAAAAAGATGTTATGCGCGCACACGTGCTCATCAAAAACAATCGGTGTGCAGACATCCGTTGCAAGGAGAGGACGGGGTGCACACGCGCGCGTCGCTGCGCGCATGCCAAAATCTTTCAAGACCTCGAATCCCGTGAGAACGTCAAAATCGAGCCCCCGAAACCATGTAGAAAATACATAGTTCTGAAACATGGCTTTCAAACAAGTTTGCGCGGGCGCTTGGGAATTGTGCAGAAAACGATTGGTGTTTCAACAGATTCATCGCATGCGAGCGACCAAGCGGGCCTGGCGCGCACGCGTGCCGACATCATTCGAACGCCTTTGCGCGCGTGCTGGGGGGCACGATCCCTGTCAACTAACTCCATGCGGGCCACTCGCACCCGTCGGTCGCGCGCATGTGGAACTATGACCAAAGTTTTCATCACCGACGCGGGAACACCATCATCGTCATCGGCGTGATCAGCATCGGCACCGTCATTGGCCTTGCCGTCGTCATCGTCGTCGTCATCGTCGCCGCCAGCATCGCTACAATCATCATCGCGTCTGCCGCTGTCTACGTCGCCATGATGCCGCGCCCGCCCAATTCATCGACTCGCATTGAAGTGCCCGCGTTCCA